GAATTTATTTACATGATACGGTACAAGTAATATCCTACCTTTGTTCTGCTTAGAGAATGTCTGTCGAATTCATCCGTACATGTGACAGTCTGTGTAGCATGGAGGATACCATAAATGATTGTGTGCTTCATTTGCCGCTTTCTAAACACTTTGTTTCGTGGTTCACTTTTAGGCTTCAGTACCAGTCTGAAACATAAGGGATCACACCCGAGGCCGTAATTATTTCAAGGCTCTGTTCTTCTTATGATGAGATATCGTAGGATTAAGCAATAATGATGTTGGGCTTGATTTTTGGCTTTTTGTTTCTTTAATGAGTTATAAAAGAGCAAATGTAGCAACGCCGTCAATTGTCTTTTGCTTGAACAAGATGTCAGATGGAGTAGTTACTAAATCTCCTTTAGGAGTAAACATCTAGTACTATCAAATCGTGTATAATGTCAATGTTGTAATATCTCACCTGCCAAGTATCTAGAATCGGATTAAACTGACTCGAAAACATCTATTGTCCGGTGCATTTGTCTGCAGTTATGTCCAACCTGGAAATGTCATTTGCAACAAGAGCCGCTGATAACTTACATCACAAACTGTGTACTAAAGGCCGATATTCGACAAATTAGAAGAGATCAAAAACTTCCGCTATCTGACCATAATAACCAGTTGAAAGCTATGAAAAAATGTCTGGATGCCAATAAAAATGATGGTTAACATTGGTACTTCTATTTGCCATCCCTGTAATTAAGTTGAATCAAGCACAATATATGTATACACTAGTCAGTAAGATGCAGAGCAAAGAGATTCAAGTAAAATAAATACATGGGCTCTAGAAAACAACATTTCGGTGCGAACATCTAGAACAAATAGTCTTAGCACTGTGAATCCATTGACATGAAATGTAACGCCATAAACTGAAGTGAAAATGCGTTTCTGAGGTTATTCAAATTCGTTTTGCTATTGAACTATTGGGTCGCCTCAGAGAATAGAACTTAAGCCTGAATTCATCGTATATAGTCCATTATCGACCTGATAAATAGGTCTTTAACTGTTATTGCAGTATGAAGGCATATGAATTTGTAAGTGTTTTTAACAGGATAAATTCTGTTCTGCTCTTATCAGCCAGATTTTGCTTGTGGTATAGGGGTTGATCCTACTTATTTCCCGTTTTTAATAGAAATTGCATCTTGATATACATTAAATGCTCGTAAACAAAAGTGAGTTGATCTGTTTATTTGTGATAAGAGTAATAAAAAAGTCCTGTCTTACATAATAATACGTCATTTTCTAGTTTCTATGAATTTACTAACTTATGAATAAATCGTTCAATATACGTCAGACACTTATCAAAATATTATTCGTTCTGGTTCAAAAATTATTTTAAACTAAAAAAGATGCTCTTTTTTAAAGCGTAATAACTCAAAATTTTATTTCGCATGTGTCGACTGAGCAGAAGATAAATTGGCCAGAAAGGTCACTATGTTTTAAGCTGTGTATAGTGCGAAAATGTTTAAAAGGGTCACTGATGAAAGTACGCTGTTAGAAAACATTGTTTTGTTAGCTTCCTTACTTTAATTTAATCCAAGCCTTGATATACTTGATTTTTTAAAAGTTTACCTGATAATGTGTACTGTATTTAAAAAGATCAAGGAGTGTTATGTTATAGCCAATGTAACTGATTTATTGTGTTTCTTGTTGTTGGCTATCAAGATGAGGTGTACTTATAACAAAGCCAGTAGTTTGGTAAAGAATAGTTTACATGAAATCTGAAAGATGCTTGACGTGCACAGTTTAGATAATACCCCAAAATGATAAGTACACAGTATTTGACTTACATTTTCAGACAGAAAGAAAACGTGGTCTAGTAATGTAGTAGGTTCTTCAGAACGGCCGTCATTACAAGTCGCCAATCTAGGAAAATATAACATATCTAATAAATAGCAGAATGAGAATTTTGGTTTCAGGTTTTAAAATAGATAAGTGTGAAGTGTATCCAAATCCTTTACTTAAAGAAAAAATATTTGATTTAAACGAGAAAACATCTTTTCATAAACTATTTACGAAGTTATTTGTAGCTATCACAATGGTTTGAATTTGAAAAAAGTGTTTCTAATCGGTAAAAAAGCTACAAAACATAAAACACTGCCTGTTTGGTAAATAGTAAGATATCTAATTTGGAGTTCAATAATATTAAGACTATTTTGTTTCAAGGAGATGTTGCGGAAATTAAAAATTTGGAGTCATTAATTACTAACTTATTTGTTTATAGGGTTTGCATAGGCATGAATTTTGTTTCCGATATTCATGTATCTTTGAGTTTCGCAGAAACGTATCCGCAGCAGGAACTGTGCACTACATATTACTTTAGAAATTAGTCTTCCAGACGGCAAAATGACAGTAAATTTGTAACCTTGAGAGAAAGATATGTGGCAGCTACTATTGTTAACTTCATACTTTTCGTCAGAGAAACATTAGATATCAAGAATATAGAAGGGATTTTAAATATACAATTGTACTGACCAAATATTTATTCGTTCGCTTTGTTTTAGATCAAAAGGATATTAAGCAATTTACATTTGATCATTCATACTGGTGAGTTCCTTTAAACTAATAAAGCCTAACATGCTAAAAATATAACGACTACCACCCTAAAACACTATTATAATATGTATCCTGTCATCCATGTGCTGTTTTAAAATGGTATCGGCTGAAGTTCTGAGTTTTATGCACCTTATTTTTCAAATTAGCGAAAATTTCTTCGCAAATTTCCCGTCGAGATAATTTATGAATCAAGTCTGATCAGAGAGCCCGTTTTTATTTCTTTAATATCACCTCTTCTGTTACACCGACCCGATTATTTCGACAAACTGGCGCAGATTCTTTATACAATGAAAAAATATTCATACAATATTGCCTTATTCAAGTTATCTGGTCAAATACGGAAAATAACTGTTATTGCAGGAAGTACAGAGGATAAATTTATCTTAAAGCTCTTCAGTTTATTGGAATATGTGACTTCACAGCATAAATGTCTAACAAAAAGTGAAACTGCCAAGTTGTGGGTTTCTATCACTGATTGATGACATAACCTGAAAACATCTTAACCAGTATTTTATTCGGAAATTCTGAAGACTTTATTGTCACCTTCAAAAACATCAGAATCACTTTTAAAACAGAAAATAGAATAGATAAGAATTTCTGGTTATATCGCCTAGAAGACCAGAAGTTAATGCTTTGAATTCCAGACAAAGCACAATTACTCTTGTAAATTCTTCGTATAGGTTTCACTATCAATCTTATGCTCTTACAAAAATGCTACCCCAGAAGCTCAGAATAGGTTACAAAGCTACTTTAATATAATTTTTTAAATACATATTTGTTGTAAAGACAATATTAGTTCTTCAGATGACCTCTCACTTTCTCATGGTACTGTAGAATTTAAATAACTTAACCGTCCATGATAAGCTAAAACCTATTTCATAGCCAATTCTTGACATCTGATAAGCATAGATAGATAACAATTCATCTACTAGCTGAAGCTATCTAAATCTTATCAAATTATTATTCAAGTTGTCCCAATCAGTCATCGTTTTTCTAGTGACAACGTTTTTTAGTTTCGATTAAATGAGCTAAAGGCTATCACCAGGTTAGTTTATCTGATCCCTATTAGTAATTCTGAAGTATGAGTACAACACGTCGACTTTCTGACTCAAATACACTTTTCACTAGTCAAGTACTTTTGAGATAATACAGGAACCCAGTCCACATTGTGACGAGTAATTAAACTGGCAAACATAAATGTCAGAGTTTGCCAGTGTCCTTCAATCTTTTATCAGATGGTTTGGTGGCCAACACATCTAAAATAATAAATAGTCATTGTGGAAAAAGCTTTATGTAATGAGCTACACTGAATATCATGGTTACTGTAAGTTAAGCTTAATGTAAGTAGTAAAAGGGTCATACTTTAGGTTTTTGTCATTCAACATTACGCAGATTATATTTACTTGTAACTATTAAGTGAACTGGTTTCATCATGGTGTGTTAACTAATTGCATTTTGACATGAATGTTAAATTTACTCCGGATTTTCCTTTCTCTAGTGTTCGTAAGACATCCAGGTTCAAGCGTTCTTTATGAGTCTTCATGTGAAAGTAAATATTACGCAAATCTAGGAAGTTTATACATAGCATATTTGAAATTATTTGCACATACCCATACAAAACGTTTCACTGTCCTAGGTCACACGATGGTTTTAAAACTGAAGCTGATGGCGTGCTGGTACCGGATGGAGAAAATTCAATATATGTCAGTCAACGGCATGTCTTTGATGATTTGGGTCGTGGTTTACTTGAAAATGCGTTCAGTGGATATTCATGTTCATTATTCGCCTATGGACAAACTGGTTCTGGAAAGTCCTATTCTATGATTGGCTATGGACCTAATAGGTAAAATATATCGTTTAGTAATTAAATTTATTGACTAGAGGCATTGTACCAATCATATGCGAGCAGCTATTTGATAGAATTGGCAAGAACAACGATCCTGATAAGGTAAATGTTTATAATGAATATTTAAATATCCATTTATTACATACTGTTTGCTGAATGTTTGGTGAGCCAAATCTTATTCAGACTCTCACTCGAAATGCTGGAAGTTTCTTGAGTACTGTTGTTTACCATAACGAATCGTAAAAAGTTAAAAATAACTCGTAAATTGATCTAGCGTATGGTAATTTCCGATGTTAATAACTGGGTAAAATCAACCCAACATCAGCAACATAGAGTTCCATAGTAATCAAAAGACTCAATATCATTAGCTCTCAGTTTGAGCGAAGTTAGCATTTAATCTTGATCATATAATCTATTAACTTTGAATTCAGTTATATGTTTTCATTCGGAACAAAATTAAAATTTATTCTTTTGTCTATTGCATTAACTGTTTGCCACATTAAAAAAATACTTTAAGGCTTGTATTTTTTAAACTGAATAGAAATTCCAAGTTACTTTGACGATGATGGAAATATACAATGAACAACTTCGTGATTTGTTAACAAGAGATAAATCATCTCAAACGAATTTACAAATTAGACAATCACCAGCTCAAGGATTCTATGTGCAAGGTTTAACGCAGGTACCAGTTGGGTCGTATGGTGAAATTGAACAAAGAATGAATCAGGGTAGATAAATCTGTAGTTTAGATATATATATAAGTTAACCACATTTTTTACGGTGACACATGCATTTTCAACATTTTTTTATGTTCATTCTGTTAGTGATGATAAAAAAGGTTCTAAAGTAGATTTATTTTGATAATTTGAAGAGTAAATTAGTCCATTGGATTAAGTGATGGCGTTTTAGTGTTATGTTGGATAGGAAGTTATGTAAAAGTATAACTTCATGGGTCTTGACAAGTTACTTACTTACTTACTTACTTACGCCTGTTACTCCTCGTGAAGGAGCATAGGCCGCTCACCAGCATTCTCCATCCAACCCTGTCCTGGGCAATCCTTTCCAGCTCCTTCCAGTTGTAATTCATCCTTTTCATATCTGCTTCTATTATCCGACGTAATGTGTTCTTTGGCCTTCCTCTTTTCCGCTTCCCTTCAGGATTCCAAGTTAGGGCTTGTCTCGTGATACAGTTTGACGATTTGCGTAATGTATGTCCTATCCATTTCCATCGTCTTCTCCTAATTTCCTCTTCAGCTGGAAGTTGGTTTGTTCTCTCCCACAGAAGGCTATTGCTGATGGTATCTGGCCAATGGATGTTGAGTATCTTGCGTAGACAGCTATTTATAAATACTTGTACTTTCTTGATTGTGGTTGTTGTAGTTCTCCAAGTTTCAGCTCCATACAGTAGAACTGCCTTGACGTTCGTATTGAAGATTCTCACTTTGATATTGGTTGAAAGTTGTTTTGAATTCCATATGTTCTTCAATTGTAGGAATGCGGCCCTTGCTTTGCCAATCCTCGCCTTTACGTCTGCATCTGAACCTCCTTGTCCATCGACGATGCTTCCCAGGTATGTGAAGGATTCTACATCTTCCAGAGTTTCGCCATCAAGAGTGATTGGATTGCTGTTTTCCGCTTTGAATTTGAGGACCTTCGTTTTCCCTTTGTGTATACTGAGGCCTACTGATGCAGAGACTGCTGCTACACTGGCTGTCTTCATCTGCATCTGTTCGTGTGTACGTGATATAAGAGCTAGGTCATCTGCGAAGTCCAGATCGTCTAATTGGTTCTGAGCTGTCCATTGTATTCCGTGTTTTCCTTCAGATGTCGAGGTCTTCATAATCCAGTCGACCACCAGAAGAAAGAGAAAGGGAGAGAGTAAACAGCCTTGTCTGACTCCGGTCCTTACTTGGAATGCATCTGTCAGCTGTCCTCCATGCACGACCTTGCACTGTAGTCCGTCGTATGAGTTCCGGATAATATTGACAATCTTCTCAGGAATTCCGTAGTGTCGGAGAAGTTTCCATAATGTCCTCCTATCTACACTGTCAAATGCCTTTTCATAATCAATGAAGTTGATGTATAGTGACGAGTTCCACTCAACCGATTGTTCGACGATGATCCGTAGTGCTGCAATTTGGTCTGTGCACGACCGATCCTTACGGAATCCAGCTTGTTGATCTCGAAGTTGAGCGTCTACTGCATCCTTCATCCGGTTCAGCAAAACTCTGTTGAAGACCTTCCCTGGTATTGACAGTAGTGTTATGCCTCTGTAGTTTTCACATTTGCTCAGATCTCCTTTCTTTGGAATCTTGACGAGGTGCCCTTCTTTCCAGTCCATTGGCACTTGTTCCTCCTCCCAAATCTTTTTGAATAGAGGGTAAAGCATGCTTGTGGTTACTTCGACGTCTGATTTCAGTGCTTCAGCTGGTATGTTGTCGGGTCCTGCTGCTTTCCCGTTCTTGATTTGTCTGACGGCCGCTCTAATTTCTTCCGTCGTTGGTGGGTTGACATCTATAGGAAGATCTGTGTGTGCTGCTTCGATGTTCGGTGGATTCATAGGAGCCGGCCTATTCAGGAGTTCCTCGAAGTATTCTACCCATCTGTTACGCTGTTGTTGAATTTCAGTGATTGGCTTGCCTTCCTTGTCTTTGACCGGCCTCTCTGGTTTATTGTATTTCCCTGCTAGTTTCTTCGTTGTATCGTAAAGTTGTCTCATATTTCCTTCTCTAGCAGCTTTTTCTGCCGTCGTTGCTAATTCTTCCACGTATTTCTTCTTGTCAGCTCTAATGCTCCTCTTCACTTGCTTGTTTGCTTCTATGTATTCAGCTTGTGCTTGGACTTTTTCTGCTCGTGTTCGGCTGTTGTTTATTGCTGCCTTCTTGTTCTTCCTTTCTTTGATCTTGTCCAGTGTTTCTGTAGAGATCCATTCCTTATGATGGTATTTCTTTAGACCGAGAACCTCTTGACACGTTGAAGTTAATGCTTCCTTGATGCTTTTCCAGTTGTCCTCCATAGTAGTTTCTTCTTCTTTCAGTAGATCTTGTAAGGCTTGGAACCTGTTGTTGAGAGCTATCTTGAATTCATTGAGTTTGACAGTATCTCGAAGGAAGGCTGTATTGAACCTTTGTATTGCTGTTTGTCCACTTGTCCAGTTCTTTTTTAGCTTCAGTTTCAAATTGGCTACAACTAGGTGGTGATCTGAAGCTACGTCAGCTCCTCTCCTGGTTCTCACATCTTCCATTGTCCTTCGGAATTTTTTGTTGATGCAAATATGGTCTATCTGGTTCTCTGTAGTGTGGTCCGGTGAGATCCATGTAGCCTTGTGTATACGCTTGTGTGGAAATATTGTGCCTCCTATGACTAATTTGTTGAATGCACACAGATTTGCAAATCTTTCTCCATTTTCGTTCCTCTCTCCCAGTCCATGTTGCCCCATAATATCTTCATATCCGATGTTGTCTATTCCGACTTTGGCATTTAGATCTCCCATTAGAATGGTGAGGTCCTTTCTTGGGCATTTCTCAATGACTGACTGCAGCCGCTCGTAGAACTGATCTTTAATGTCGTCGTTGCTATCATTGGTGGGTGCATAACATTGGATAATATTCATTAAGATCCCCTCCTTCTTTGTTTTGAATGATGCTTTGATGATTCTGGATCCGTGGGATTCCCATCCTACAAGTGCATTTCGTGCTACTTTGGACAGCATTAGAGCAACTCCCTGAGTGTGTGGAGCATTTTCCTCTTCGTGACCGGAGTATAGCAGCATCTCTCCCGTAGCTAGTCTTTTCTGTCCAGCTTGGGTCCAGTGAGTTTCGCTGATCCCCAGTACTGCTAAGTTGTATCTCCTCATTTCCATTGCTATTTGACTGGTCTTCCCGGTTTCCCACATTGTTCGGACGTTCCATGTACCTATAAAAATTTTTGCTCTGGTTGTTAGAAGGGGCATCGGCCTCGTGGCTTCCGAAGGAACTCGGCTTTCACCATGAAGCGTCATAATTCTTCTAAATGAAGACCTTCTAACTCTCAGGGCAGAGTTAAAATGGTTTGAATTATTTTTTCTGGTAAGCGTTTTTTTAGCGAGTTAGTTTTCTACGGGATGGGGACGCTAACCCCATGCCCAACCCTCCTCCTTTACCCGGGCTTGGGACCGGCAGTAACTCTAGAAGAACTACAGGCGGAGTTCTTGACAAGTTAGTGGGTATTAATCAAGTTAATTTTAATTTTTTATAATTGAAGAACAGAATCCAACTTTCACTCACTCTTGTCGTCACTCTGTAGTATTTAGAAGTATCGATTCCGTTTACTCAAGTTTAAAATAATAATATTGTGAGAACCAGGATAAAACATTTGAGGAAATAATGGTGCTTAGAAATTTCACTTCATGGATCGACTTTAGTCAGACAACCATTGAAAACCGTGAAGCACTCTAGAGCTGTTTCGTTCTAGTATGAAAGTCCACAGCAGCAATCATCTCCACAATCCGCATACTAGAAAATATTGTATTGAGTTATATAGTTCTCAAATACCATTGGTCTACGCTACTGTATCCATAAGGATTGGTGGATATCTTCTCTCATGATCTTTAATGCTAAACAAATGTAGCTCTGTTCTAGCATGTGGTAAGTGATCTTATTTGATCAAATTATTCCTATTAGTTTCAAACTATCCTCCTACACTGAGGTGCAATGATAGGATTCCGACCCAGCAGACTAAGTCTTGATATTCAAAAGAATTATGTGGTAAAATTATTTCATTCATGTCCAAGGAAGAATTCATGTATTATTTTACTAATCTCCAATCTCTTTATTCTTCTTATATATCTCTTCTCTACTATCTTCGGAATAAGATTTAGGTTTTCCACACATTTCGCCCCATAGTTCTGTGTAATTTATAATAATTATTTTGCAAAACTAACCAATTTCGAATAAAAATCTGCATAATAAAATCAAACTTGATAATGATATAACTTTGAACATTATCTGAGTAAATTCATTCAGAGAATACTGTTTATATAATTGTAGAAATATGAAACGTTTAGGTTTAATTATTAAGTGTGTATTATTACAATAAATAGCTAGCAAATAATTTTGTTACTCAGGTATTTATATTGTAAGAAGGAACACTACTAAACTTATTATTTGTGATCACAAACGTGAAACAATGTGAAATAATCCAGCTTGTTTCCTTATCACCGTTCAGCTTCTTAGCACTTATTTAATTTTAGATTCCTTAATTAAGGAGTGTACATTAGTGATATACTGAGATTTTTTAAAATTTTAGTCACTTTTACGTACTGGTGTGTAAGTACTACATTCAAACAAGTGAATAAGTATTCATAATTTCTTATAGTCGCTAATAAGTCTATAATGTTCTTTTGATACAAGTTTGTTAGTAAGTCAAACAAATAAATTAATATACGATTAAAAAAATTAAATGTAATGATCAACAAATTTTGTCAGTCATTCGGCTTCAACATTTAATAGTTTGTGATATGAACATACAACTTTCCAGCCTAATCACATTTAGACCAGCATTTAATAACCGCCATTCAAAACAAGCAATAACTTGGAGTAGTATTCCATTTATTAGTTATAGAAACCGTAAAAGCAAGCTCGTAAGCTACTTCATCCAAAACTTTAAGCTATTTTATCAATAAATAACATTCATTGTACAAGTGGCTTTTATCTAGTGATTAAATCCATAGAGCTTTATGATTAGATAAAGATCCCGAGTCAAAAAGCATCAACTATTAGGTTTTAGCGAGACTGAGTCGTGTGGATTTTATATTTGACTGCTAGTTACTTCCAAAGTATTAAACTAGCATTCAATAATGTTATCAGCACTTAACTACGAGTGAGTAATTTCCAAACTTCTAGTGAGATGTGACTAGTCGAGTATATTCATGTCGAGTGTGAGAGGAATATTACCAGTGAAAATGAATGGTGGTCATACAACATTGTGAAAGGGTTGAAATTATAAATGTAAACTACAGAATGTCAACCAAGAGGTCAATGTGAGACCTGAAGATTATGAGTTCGATTTCCTGTGGGTTGTGGATGAGCAACTCTGATGAGGTCCATATTAAGACTAAGCAACTCAACAAGTTTTCCTGGTTTTCAATGATGTGAAACTTTAAAATACACTATAAGTTAACGGTGTTTTCATGCTGTATTGAAAAACTTGACAAAATTTGGTCTCATTATTAGTTATAAAACAAATGGAAGAAATGAATTCATTTTATTTCTATTGTTATAACTGTTGAAAATTTGTATGGAACAAGGAATTAAACAATTGTATCCCCTAACAACCTAATTTTAAGAACCTTGACATTTGTCATTTTTGTTGAGAAAGTCTCAACAAAATGGCATTTGTTTTTTGTTATACATCTTGTTAAAACAATAATAAAAATATCCAAATTGGTTTCTCACATACTAATTCAGAATATAATATTTAGAGGAAACTTATAAGGACTACAATGGATTTTAGATATAAGATAATGGAGAAAAATAGAATATGAGGTGAATGTATCCTTAGTTTCTTATTTTGTGGTCTGAGCGTTGTACTTGTAGAGTTCTTTATAGATGCTGGACGACAGATTCCTTCTTGGCTGCTCTTCTTTCTTAAGCTTTTGCATTTCGATACTCAGCATCAATACTTCCAGCAAGCTTAGTTCTGCATTTAACTTGCTATGCGCTTCAGTATACTGAAACCTAAAACCCAAACAGTGAAAGCTGACTTGAGTTTTGGCCTACGGTGTTGGTCTTTGATCAAATGTTAATGTATACAGACATCAAACTGACCCTAATATAAGTCCCTCCCCTTGTATGTGGTCACATCTTTTTTCACAGGAACCATTATCCAAAATGTGTATATGATTCTGATTCATCTGAAAATCCTGATCTCAGCTATGAACGACACCATCAACAGAAACATAAGAATAGATGCCAACTTGCTGGGTTGAGTCCTAACATGTCCACGCCATATTGAAATATGTGTGAACTTTGGTTTAAACAAAGTAGGCTAATTTCTCGAACCAGTTCTAAGGTAAATTACTAAATGTCAGATGCCAAGGAAAGACCTGACATGGGACGTCAACGATAAGAATACTAAATATTAGATGATAAACACTAAGGGTATGAAAGCAATGAAACGTCTATATGAGCAGGTTTTTGCTACTTGGCATTTACGTATAACTGATCGCATCTGTGTAAAGCCAACCCTTAGTTACTTTGCTATCTTCACAGAGGACAAACGTTGTTCAGGATGAAGAAGAAGGAAGTTATTTGAAAGTGATTTAACTCACCTTTATTTCTACTGAGATTTGAAAAATATGTACAGGATAATCGGTCATCTAAGTGGGAGGTATCGATACTAGGGAACCTTGTTAAGCACTCATGATTGCTTATTCTGTACACCTGTATATTACTTCTGTTTGAAAGTAGAGATAAATGATATTACGAAAAAATAGGCAGCATTGTGGATGGAGATCATCTTCAAATAACTAATCACAGTCTTAAAATTGCTTAAAACAACTAACGTTGATTTTAAAGCGCACAAAGTGAATCAGTACATGTCAGTAAATTAGGAAAGTTTTCATTTGAAGCTTTGGTCTCATCGTACAGCAGATCTCAATAAGTCCCTGTAAGTTTATTTCTCAGCTCATATCTCAATATCTGACGTGCTTCGTAATATCTGAGATGTTTTAAATAATTGTCTTTTTAACTAAAAGTTAGATGTAAATATCACAGCAGTGGAAAGAAATAAGGATAGTACAGTATTAAAACGTTGGTAGTGGAACATACGAGCAGCTGACCCAAATGAGTACAAGGTAATCGTCAAGAGGATAGTAGTGGCATTACTACTTATATATTGCTAAGTAGAACAAGTGCTATTTCTAAATTGTTATCAAGTGGGGATAATTTCTATAAAAACCAGGATATATGTAAGTTTTATTGGTTCCAGTTAATTAGGCATACGATGCAATTTATTTTATATTATATATTTTCGAAAAAATAACACAGTGACGTAAAAAAGAAACTATGTAAGTAAAATCTTATTGAAAAGATGGGAATCGCGTGCTGACAAATATAAAATGTGAGGATTCGGCTGTTGAATACTTGGACATCCTGCATGTCAACATTCACTTGAAACGAACTAAAAATTGGTAGTTTGAAACTTTTTCTTCCTACATGTAATATTTACAAGTAACAGTTACTTTACTTACAGATTTAAGAGGATCAATTTATTGAAGCTATTTTAATATTTGCTCATTAAATGATGACAAGAAATAAGAATTTTCGCTTAGTGTGCATCATCCTAACTAAACGACCAAAACATAAGTGCAGCACCTCGATAAGCCATTCTTTCGAAATCTCATGGAAACGGATAATGTTCACGTGATAAAGCAAACTAACTGAAGATAGAAATTAGGACAACTGATTGCCAACCCAGTAGACTGAATGTTAGGTTGTCAACTCGAGACCTGACAATTCTCAGATTGATCCCCTATGGTGTGATGGTTGGGAACAGTTGAACAGTTCAATAGTAGAACGAACACTGTTTGATTTGTCTAGCGAATGTTGTGCACTTTGGTGTCGAATGTCGAATGCAGAGCAAGGACTGTTGACTGATAGTCATGATAACCCTCAACTGAATCACTACGAGTTGGTAGTCATAAGATCATATACGTTTTCCGAATGATTGTGGAAACATCTCTAATCCGACCTGTTGCACTGATAGAGTGAGAGCTAATGTGTCACTTGAGTTTCTGTTTCAAAATTCCCGTCAGCTTCGGTGTTTTCACCATAAATAACACTGATTAAGAATGTAAATGGAAGGTATAAACACATGTGGAGCTCAGCTACCAACACTGAAACGTGTATCAGGTGGAGTTTCTCCTCTTCAATATAGTCTATGAAACAAGTCATCATCTGAACTTGTTGATATCTACGTGAATAGTTTAACGAATCAGTCATTTGGTCAAATGCAACCTAGAAACTGGTACATCTGTACAGTGGTTCAGGTCGACATACACCATTAACACATTGGTCTGAAATTGTCAGAGTAATTCCCCGAGTAGTAGATGTAGTAACAGTACAACTTATTTAAATAAGGCATTCATACTCAAAACTTCATTTTGTCTACAGCTATTACATCTTATATAGTTTCTATAAATAGACCATATTTCTCTACAGGAATCATTGGTGTTACAAGTTGTTCTATGTCAATTACTACAAAGTTTTGTAAGATATGTTTGAATATTCGTGTCGTTGATGTTGAGGACTGAAATCGATTTCGCTGTTAATCGGTATCGAACTCTGAGTAAAGTACTACAAACGTTGTTTCAATAATAAGAATCACTGTAATTCAAAAATATTATGTACATCTATGTGTAAAGTAAATTTGGTAATAGGTTTGGAAATTCGTGCACTTTTTGTTGAATTTTTATGCTGATCCATTAAAGTGGAAATTATATTTGTAAGATTCTCAGAGATTGAAATGAGAATGATTTCAATGTTTCACTGTGATTTCAGATTAGATCTTCTTTAGTGAAATAATCCGAAATCAGAACTATCAAATATAAATCGACTCACAAAACAATTGTGTACTAAATCTATTGCCTATTCATCTGTTCAAATTTAGATAAAATTTGTTGCAATATAATTTATTAAACACAAATTGTTTTCAGTAGTTTAATATTATGAGATTTTTTGTTTTATAAATATATATTCCTTTTCTTTTCATAGGTACTGCGCGTAGAACTGTAGCGGCAACAAATATGAATGAAACTAGTAGCAGAGCTCATACTATAATTACAATAACATTTGATCAACTCATTGGTTCTGAAGAGTCAAAAATATCAAGAAAGCGTTCGGTAATAAATTTAGTTGATCTAGCAGGTTAGCTTCACTTAGCTGTCAAATAGTAAAGAATAAAAGTTTAGGATATTTTTAATTAATTAGTGTATCTGACAGGTTGTAGTTAAACTTAGGATAAATGATTAAAAAACAGAATAGATCTAACATGTTTAACAATATATTTGAAAAAGTACAGTCAGATCTAAACAAACATTTACAAAAAATTTTTTATCATTTAGTAATTGGAAGTTTCTGCTTTATATTTGACTAAAAATAAGAAACTTTTGTTCATTAAAATAAATTTTATAATATTAAATATAAGTTTTGTTTCATTCGTCTGCACGTAGCGAATTCCGACCACTATGACCATCTGAAGACTGTTTGTAAGAATTCATCACTGGTTGAGTGATCACAATGCTTTTTAATTTCATGTAAAATGTAATTTGAGGCACCTTTAAGTTTTATATATGAGTGGGAGGCGGAGTTGAGAGGAAGTCTAACCTAAATAATGATTTTAAACAACAAACTCTCCAGCTACTTTTTTATTTTCCACTTATTGAAATCTAACACTCAACGTCCAACCAATACTTGATTTTAACATATCAAAAAGCCCACTATAGATTAGTCGTTGATGTATCTCCATGATATAATTATATTTATACGTAGCCAAGAGTTACCGAAAAAGACTTTGCCTAACTACATGAAAACCCCAAAAGCATGTTGTAAAATATTTATGATCCTTTTTATAGTCTTTACATTTTGCTTTAATATGGGGGTTTGTACAGAATGCTAAGTTTTACATTTTACATGGTGGATTAACCTTAGGAAACCATTAATATATGGGAAAAACCGGGAGGCTGTTTTGTCTCAGAATGAGACTGTTTAGCAATGCACAACCACAAACGTGATGCGAACTGGACGCAGAACCTTTGGTCTCATGACAAACACCCGGCCATTAGGCCATTTGGTACATAACCAGTGGTACACTTTGTAACTTTAGTCATTTTGTGGTATTGGATAATCATCTTAAGACACTACTGATGGGTAACTGTCTCATACCCAAGATGGTTGAAGGCCATTGGATAGGGATTCTCATCGGAACTCCGTGAATGATCTCTCAAAATTACTTTCATATTTTTTATTCTATCATTATAAATTAACAAGCCTTTTTCTGATGAAGAAGACTTATTGACTTTATTTTACGTACGGCTGTTATTCGATTCTTGAAATGAATTATACTTGAATGAAATAAGTGATCTTTGGTTCACGGAAATTGTAATATAAAATCCTGTAGGCTTTGTTTACTCTCCTAAAAACTTGATAAATACTTTTTATTTATCTTTTTCAAACAAAGCACAATCTGTTAAGATTGAAAACATTTTAGTACATTGTTGATATGTTTACTTATCTCTATACATAAAAATTTCTTCAATACAAATTATCCTTTCTGATGGTAAATAACCTTATAATCTTATTAGAACCACATAAAATAATGTTTATAGTTTTTACTTGATGAATGTAATCAAGTAAGACCAAAGAAACTAGTTTATTTTTTCAGGTTCTGAACGAGCCGAAAGCACAGGAGCGACTGGAGATCGCTTAAAAGAAGGTGCAAAAATCAATCGATCATTATCAGCATTGGGTAATGTCATATCCGTAAGTAGTAGTTGACAGATCGGGTTAATCTCATTCGAATAAATCTTTATAAGAAATTTAAGATTGTTTTGTTTAACTTTATTTATTCTAAGTATATTTTTGTGTTTCGCTGTAGGCATTATCTGAAAATAAAAAAGTCATTCCTTATCGGGATTCAATACTTACTAAACTACTACAAAACGCTTTGGGTGGGAATAGGTAAGTTTAATTATGTATGATAAATCCATTTATAAGACTTCATGGAATTTATGAGTAGTTTGCGACTAGCTGTTTTCAAAAGAATTAACCTTTAAAGTTATATAAGAATTGACCATCAAGAAACACTAGACAACCATTTCCTTTTAGATTTGAACTCCCCTGGCACGTGTAACTATTGTCAAAGAAGATTGAGAAATGTGAAAATATAGTTACACAAATTTTGAATAAAAGTCAACATACAAAACGAGGAGGAAAATTCAAGAAAAGGCAATACTGTCGAATAAAACACTATCAAGGGTTTCGCAGAGCTTTCAGTCTGTTATATTCATTGTTTATAAATCATAGGTTTAAGGGAGATATTTCTGGTGAAATACTAAAATGACGTCTGGAGAGATCGATTGGAAAAACGCTTAACTGCAAATTACTACAGTCATCATCTGTTATACCCTCAAATGAAAGATAAGTTGTCTTAGCTGACCAGTTCACTTGTTTTTGTGGAGGTAGGCTTGTAGGATGTTCATCGAGGCCACGTATTTGTCGCATTCGTGATCATCTGCCAGTGTGTTTAAGAAAAGGCATACATAAGCCAGTTAATTCACCGATTTCAAAATACATAGTAGACTTATGAAATTCAGACTCTGATACAAAATTTAGTTAAAGGTACCAAGAAATGTACACCTTAACTTATTTTACATTACATTCCATAGTTTGAAACCTGAATTGTACACCTAAAAACGGTTTGCTGGATTTCTTCAGTATGATGTTAACTTGTAGTTCTGTTTTATCTACTTAATTATGCCTCTTGCCTTTCGTCATCCACTCCTACTTCTATGAAGTAATTCTAATTTACTATGTTTACTGTTATTATCATTGCAGAATCTGTTTCTATTTCGATATCTCTATAATTATTCACATATCTTTATTTCAAATTAACGATACTCACAGTTGCACTTGTCACCCCATTAATTATATATTTCTCGTGTTTTATAATTTTCCTTCTTTAATAATTATTTGTTTATTTAAAACGATTTAGTCAAATGTCACATAAGAACTAATCAAATTCTAACAGACACATAATTGTCGATAAACCTGTGTTTTATTATATATATTATATTGTAAAGGTTTTTTCAGTTGACTCATGTAATCAAGTCCTCCAAATGTATTCACTAGTGTTTCTATCAGTTCGTACAAAACATGAACAAAATACTGAAATAAATATTAAACTTTCTTTTGCTATTCATCAAAGATTGTAATCAGCAATTATCTACTTACTGATATTAATATAAATGTTTCAATTTGTGTTATCTTGTGTCCCAGTTTAGCTTTTCTTTTGTAATGCATTTGTTATATAAAAATAGTATCTTATTATTTTATTGTGTTGTTTTGTTTGTAAACACACGTTTAAAACAATTTAGTAAAACCGTTATGATTGCAGCAATATCGCCAGCAGACATTAATTATGATGAAACGTTATCCACGTTACGTTATGCAGATCGAGCGAAACAAATTAAAAATACAGTTTTAATTAATGAAGATCCAATGGAATCACTAATTCGTGAATTAAAAGTAAGCATATCACAAACGTTTATTTGCATAATTTAAACCACGAAATGATCATATCTAGAGCATCGCTGAAAACTTGAAAGCATTGCACAGCTGTCTCGATCTAGTACTGAACTCTGTAGCAGTGTCCGCCCACGAATCAATCAAATGTGACCAAGATCAGTGCCCTTGTGTCTGCGCGCGAACGTCTAACCTCTATAGGATTGAGCCAGTTTCTAATGCTGTCCAACTTAAATCAATACGTGATGTTGTGTGATTACTGTTTAGACATAGATTTACCTGATAAGTCCACTGAAATACACGTTAGTAATATGATAGGCACTATAATCCGAAATGTATGATTATTATTGCTTGGAATTTATTAATTTGATTACTAGGAGGTTAATGTAACATTTATCATTTGGAATAGGACATTCGTTGTTTTTTTTGTCAGCTGGATTTTACTTTTACACCTGTTACATAAATGTCTTAATATGATATTGTTGAATTAAACATACGAAATATTACTTCTAGATTTAAAAAATAAAGTTTATGATTAAGTATTGACGATACACTCGGAGATTTTGTACAATGATTTCACTTAAATAACGTAATGGAACTATCGGCTGGAAGAGTTGGCGTGATTATGAGGGAAATGAACAATGATTGATATAATTTCCGAGTAAGCCGAAGGATATTGAATTGGTTCATAAGAATAGTTTTTATGTTCGTTCTAAACTTAATAATTATTTTATTGAATGTAGAAAAATACACACTATTTTTAATACAAGTATTAAAGCATCGGAAAGTATTCAAAATCAACCAACCGCCAGTTCAATGACCTCCTGTTTGACCAATGACCTTTTAAGAAAAAATATCTGCATTTACACTGAGATGCTATTCCACACAATATCGTAACTTACTGCATTTAATGCCTAATATTTTAGCGAATATTTTAATTTGGAGCCGATACTAAGATTCTTTAGAAATTCAGAATCAAATAATATACATAATATGTATGATGCTACCTATAGGTTTTATATATAGATAAAAACGTTATAATATGTTAAGTAACAAAGAAAACCAACATTGAGATATTAATTTCATTGGGACATAAATGACACTATAAATATATCCCAATAGTTCATTCTTCATCTGACTTCAAATTATATCTATTCTTGTGTTCAATATATTTCACAAAAGAGTGCCATTTTATTGAAAGAAAAAATCACTTTTTTGCCTGAAGTTTTGTTCTTGTTATCGATTCATTTCAAGTTCATGTCAACAATCCAGTCTCGTAAAATTTATCGCCCGGCCACAATGCACCACGGCGTTCATCGTTTCATTAGCAGCTTGCTCATTCAATAACATCTAAATATTCCTGTTCATAAATTGGAATATCCTCCTGAACACTAAACAATTTACACGATTACTGGACATGGTCCGCATAAATATGGATTTTTTATAAAAGTCATTTTAATATTGAGAACAGTCATTTATTTATTGTTTTAATGACTGCACTGAGAATCACTGAAGTTGTAAAAACATGTTTCTCTTATACTAAAATGAACATCAGCAAGATTTTATCCATCAGATTTTATTAATAGAATCCACATGAAATTAAGAACCCGAATTAGTTTATAAGATTTATCACTTTTGAACGCTACCGAATATGTTGAGATAAGAAAACCAGGACATACAGATGAAGTTATTTTATTAGTCATACTTTATAGAGATGATGGATTACGATTCGAAGTGATACAGTTATTATGTGATCAGTGTTTAGTAGTATTTCACGCATTTATGTCATTTCTTAATTATTTGACTCCTGATATACCGTATCAGCTACTATTAAAAATAGTTTGACAGAGGCTTTCACGCGGTTAATCCTTCCAGTTAAAACGCACTAGCTTAATAGCATCCGATTGTCAGAATTATGAATCTGTAAATCAGAAATCTGAATTACCGTTTAGTAAACAAAAGAAAAAAAATTGAGACCACACAAGAATTACATCATGTTTTCTTTTTACTGATAGACCGTAACTGATGGATGTATATTTAAATTTTTAATAAACTGATAATACTGCCCGTAAAACAAGAATTTAAAGAAAACATTATGATCAGTCCTGGGTTTTTGTACATCATACTCTTGTTTTTCACTTTCAGGCAGAAAATGAACGTCTAAAGAAAGCCTTAAACTCTACTGAACTACCTTCATCAGTGGTCGTAAAAGGTCTTACACCAAAAGGTAGATTTATTTTATTCCATGACTATGTATATAACTGTATGCTTGTTCTTCTATAGAAATAGAAGATCTTAAAAACCAAATGAGAAAAGAAATGATGGAACAGATGGAAACTAATCTGGCTACAATCGAAGCTCAGAATCAAGCTGCATTTGATGAGAAAGTATGTTACTTATGATAACAGTCTTTCCCTTAATTTGCTTTCAAACATAATGTTCGATAAGATGTAGTGGTAATCCAATTATTTACTTACTTAAGCCTGTTACCTCTCATGGAGCAGTATAGGATGCTCACCAGCTTTCTCCATCCAACCCTTTCTTGGACAATCCTTTCTAGTTCTTTACAGTTGCTATTCATCCTACTCATATCTGCTTCCAATTCGCGGCACAGTGTGTTCTTTGGACTTCCACTTTTCAGTCTCTCTTCAGGATTCCAAGTTAGCACTTGTCTCATGACACAGTTTGATGGTTTCCTCAATGTGTGTCCTATCCACTTCTGGCATCTTTTCTTAGTTTCCTCCTCAGTTGGAAGTTGGTTTGTTATCTCCCACAATGGGCTGTTGCTAATGGTATCCGGTCAAAGGACGATGATTATCTTACGTAGACAATTGTTTATAAATACTTGTACGTTTTTGATGATGGTTGTGATAGTTCTCCAAGTGTCAGTTCCATACAGTAGGACTGTCTTGACATTGGTATTGAAGATTGTGACTTTGATATTGGTTAACAGATATTTTGAGTTGCATATGTTATTCAACTGTGGGAATGCTGTCCTTGCATTGACAATCCTCACCTTTACGTCTGCATAAGATGCTCCACGTACATTGATTATGCTACCCAGATAAGTGAAACTTTCCAGAGTTTCTCCATCAAGTGTGATTGGGTTGGGTAATTCTGTACTGATTGAAAATCGATGACCTATCATTAAGTTAGTCATGATTAACCTAAAGTTGGTATACATATACACTGGCTTGAGTTGCTATACAACATCCGTATCTACCGACATGGCCTGTAGTTAATAAATACATGATATTCAATGAAGTTTCTCTGAAATTAAATCAAAGCACTATATCATTAGCTGCAAAATTAGTTCCTTAACAGATTTGTTTCATTATATTAGCTGAACCACAACCAATAAGCAATAATTTCAAATTATTTAATGTTGTATATATCTTGTGAATCATCTTCGAAACCCCAAGCAATGATTTTTATTAGAATCTTCATATTGTCAAATGTAAGCTGGTATCGTACGATTAGTTTTCATTATATTAACAAGTAAGGAATTACACTGGCTGAAGAATTTGATGAATTACATACATTTTGTTGTTTTTTTCTCTAATAACGTTTAAGCTGACAAGTATATTCAGTTTCGAAATATTAAAATATTTGTCGATTACTAAGTGATTGACACATTAAAGAGTGACAGCTTGTTTGGAAGTTCAAAAATTGTAATGTAGTTTAAATCAAAAGGCTTGATACATTCTTCCTTAAATAATTTATCACATAATTAACAATCATTAGAGAAGTTCATTTTATACAACAGTATGAAGCGAACGGTACTGGGTTCGAGTCCCAGAGTGAACATCAACTCTGGGATTCAGGTACATCCAGCTGACGAGTCCTAAATAGGACGAAACGTGCGTCCTGATTTCCACTACTAGCCACCATCCATCTTTGCTTAAATAGCTTGTCACTTTAGGCTATATCGAGGCAATCCGCACAGTATGCACATAGGCCGACAAGAGACTGATCAATTGCAGTCTTAAATAACAATGGGAAGATACAAGTAAAACATCACCAAGTGAATTTAATATGACATAATATGTGAAAGAAGAACATTCCTTTCGGTAGATTTTCTTCAGATTCTACAGTTATATATCCGAATTGATAATCTTAAGTGTTTAAGTTTAGGGCAAAGTGCATCGTCTAAATTTGTATCATGTGACTTTAGGATTATTAAACAATATATTGATATGACTGTGGGATGTTAACTTGGATCAGCTTAATTGAAATTTTAAGATTCGTGATCCGAATAAATATGGGTCAGATAGGGTGAGAGAAATAATGGTGCAATTACAAATTCGATGAAATGTTTAGTAGAAGACTGTAATGTGTAAAAACTTGGTAAGACATAATGAAGTGGAATGAATACGGAGTGAACCAATAATTATAGTAATACGAGGATATGTGAATAAAGATAACAGAGACAATTATATTTGTGTAATAAAGGTTGTAAGTACAATAGTCAAATTAGGTCATTCGATAGCTAACATTACCACTGATTAATTGGCCTTGAGGTTGACCAGGGGAGGATAAGCAGTTGGAGATATTTCTTTCGTGCATATAGCTCCGGTCTCTCAATTTGAAAGGCTACTGCTTCAGCCGTTTGAAGGACTTTGAGTGTGACAGACTATGGCAAAAAATTGTGAAGGATTGGATTATATTGGCACAATGACCATTTTGTATTAAATGGGCCATTATCGAGCTGTTCACTTTCTTCAGTAGACCTTTGCTTAGCCACGCTGGGAGGTGTTCGTGAGCACGAAAATGTAAATTCATAGAACTTTGACCAATATAGCTTGCTGTGCAAGAGCAGTTGAACTGATAAATACAAAACAAGGTGATCATTCTAGATAGCTCATCTTTTAGCCTCGATGTCACCATTAGGCGCGTAGAAAACACTTGTTGTAGTTCTCCGTAGTTGAATGATTTTTGGATTTTTCTGCGTATTCTCTGAGTTAATATTTCTCTAGCAACACCCGCTCTGAACTGTGGGCACATGAACAGGGATTTCTTACTCACCATTTGTATTTCGCTTATACTAACCTTCGTGATCGTATATTTGTTTATAAGCTCTCCAGGATATCCGATTTCCCTAAGTGTATTACGCGAGGCGTTTAGTTCTTTCTTAAGTATATCCGTAGGACATACGGCACATAGTTGACAACTATTTTTATCAATTTTCTTTTGTACTGTAAAGGTAAAAAGCTAGGAAAATATGTGTACTACTCTGTCCAGGTATTTTTTATGTTTAAATACCTTCTTATTTATCTATCAACTCTCTTGGTTAAGAGGACGTCCAAAAAGACTATTTTACCTTCGCTCCCTTCTTCAGATGTAAAATTAGCGGTTGGGTGTACCTCATTAATTTACCTAAGAATCTCTTGTTGTAATGCACTGTCTTTACAGAGAATGTACGTATTATTCATATATCGACAGTAAAATGTGAATTTTTGACATAAATTGTTTCAAGTATATAATGTGATCTATATTTTCCTTTACATAATAAATTAAAGTGATACTTGATGTTTGTTTAATGAATTTTGAGAATTAAACACAAAATTTCATCCATGTTGAAAGTGTAATTAAATGGTTTATTCACAGAAAATGTAAAATATTTGTTTCATTGGTCTCTTTTTCTTTCGGTTTAGTTGAGACAAGCTCGATTAGAAATAACTCAGCAAACAGTTGAACTTCCTAAGAAATCAGGTGACTCACGTATTTCGTCAAAATCAAAACCATACTTATCAAATCTGAATGAGGACCCACAACTGTCTGGAATTATTATTCACGTCTTATCTCATAAACAAGTAAGTACTATACTTGATTACTTCCATAGTATTTTTATAATAACTAATTTTTACATAACTCAGTAGTTTCGACAGTATTTCTTCGGCACTCATGGAGATGGATTCAGCAGTTTTGTTTTGTGAAGATTAACTTGAATTTGTGGACATATAATTACCACTATCCCGTCATAAGTAGGATTGGTTTATTAAAATGTAGAAATATAAAAGACAGGTTTCAAATGTCAGAATTCATTTCGAAGCATAAATAGAACAACATGAACTAAGTTAGGAAATGGGAACAGTTTCTTCTATTTGTTAAGGCATTTTTGGTAACTACTAATGCATAAGCGATGTTTAAAAAGCTAGTAAGCTACAAAAGACTTATTTTCACATAAAATAATGATGTTTTGCAAATTAATGATCCCAGGCATGTGTATGTTATTGCATTTTCTAAGTAACTTTTACATAAGTATGTTATTCATTTGTTAACAGAATGATTGATGAAGAATTTAGATAGAACAATCAAATTAACCCTCCTCTACGTGTTTACTTTTCGCAGCATTGTGGGTGAAAAACACTAGTTCCATCATTCTGTGTCGATATATTATGAAAGCTTAACATTTTTGTTGTGACTTTAAATCCGGCTTGTTATTACGTAATTTATTCGCCAATCGAAATGCGACTTATTCACTCTTGTACTGTACTAAAACAATGACGTTTGACCGGTATGAGCAGCCTAGCGTTCTTATTGGTCCTTTGCTCGCCTAGCCCGTCCAGTCGAGTCCAGAACGCCAATAATGGATTCCACTATGCGAATCATTTATTTCAGACATACTTAGTTTATATATCAGCCAAACAGACCGCACCACACCATAAAATACGAAATAATATTCATACACAATAAAGCCAAAAAGTGGCTGTGAACGTGGGAGACTATAATCAATAAACTGAACATAACGTGAGAACAATAAGTCGTATAATAATAATCTATAGGTCAAAATGAAGCTTATAATAAGAGGAATATATATATATAATCTAATTACTGAATAGTTATACCATAAGAATATATAGATAATATTAGTTCATTAATAGGTCTCAGAAATGACTCATAATTTAATCTTCACTAGGATATAACAATTTTCATATAAATATTATTTGCTGTTCTTGTGTACTAACGAAATTTACATCGAATGTTAAATTATCGTAGAATGATTGTACGGTCAACTTATTGTAAAATCTATGTGACTGAAAGTATTGCTTGATGTCTATTGATTTTCAGTGGACTAATTGTTGTTTTATAGACTAAATATCCCATTCACTGTTACTTGTATTAATTAAAATTATCATATATGTGTTCATCCTGTCACACTTGGTATTCTATCTTTGGTGTATTATGATGCTGTTTGGCTAACTATATAATCTGTAGAATTAATGCTCATGAAGTTGAGTTTTAATGAATAAAATGTTAACTAACAAATATCAAAGATTAGAAATATTCAGATGATCTTAAATCTGTGTGTTATGCTAAACGTCTTTCATAATCTGATACGATAATATGAAGAATGTTTTTGTGATTGTTTTATACAAATGTAGTGTCTTAGAGTTTGGAAAAGTAGATGAGTATAATATTCATTATTCGGACAAATTATTCTTATTATCAGCTAACATTTCATTACTTTAGACAGGAATCGGACGTGAACCGCCAAGTGAATCGCAATCTAACGAAAAATCTAAAATATTTTGGATTCAAATGAAAGGTTTATGTATGGTTGATGAACATGCTTTATTAATAAGACATGGAAAGACTGGTGCAGAAGTAGAACTACGTGCTTTACCCAATGCTGTTCGAATGACAAAAGTAAATGGTGTTACCGTGAAGAATTCTGTTACACTTCATCATAAGGATCGCATATTATTTGGTAAGAATATGGATTTAGTTCATTTATACTTGTTGTTTGAATCTCCTCACTGATGTCAGGGATTGCAATTGGCAAACGTGGGTCTCGACATTGTCATTAAGTATAAAGGATTATGAGCAGAAATTAATAGTGACTAACAATGTACTCCAGGATGCGCGTTTCTTTCCATTCGGGACTCGTCAGGTAAATGTTTCTGCATCCCATTGTTGGTGTTGACTCCGAGACTCAGACCCAGTTCCGTCAGCTTCAAACGCCATTGAAGTGAACATTAACTCTGTGGTGTGGGTAAATCCAGCTGATGAGTCGTAAATACGTAGAAGCGCGCGTTCTGGGTTTCACTGCTCGCCACCATTTACCCCTGCTTATAATATGGGCTTAATTTTCTACATTTTCAGTTTGCCTTACGTTTAAAACTCATTTCTTGGTAGGCTCTAATAACTATAACTACAGAATTATGCGTAGTTGGGATCAGTATGAAAATCATAATTCACATTACTTCAATCTGCACCTGTTTATTTATTAATTCGTAAGAGTCGTGTAACAATGCTTCAGAAATATAGAAGAGACTTAGCGAATATGATAAATATTTTCTAAATTTCAATTTATTTAGATCAATTCAGTAGTCATGGTTTGCATTCAAACTATCAAAGAATAGAATGCTTAGGTCGGATAACTCAAATTAAATATTACGTAACGAAGTTAAATACCAACCTTCAGTGATTAAATTGGTTAATTTTGAGTTTAAATTTAATTTGAAATTCAGCATTTCAGTCTATAAAGAAAAGGTGGCAGCAGTGCGAAAAATTGCTAGAGAAATAATGAAAAAAACGATCATACGCCAAAAAGTTTTCTAATAATGCTATTGACTTAATTTTCATAGGCTCACATCAACTATACATATTCCATAATCCACTGTCAAAAGAATTTGCTGATGAGTCAAAATCTGGTATGGAACCGGAAACAATTGACTGGGAATTTGCACAACGTGAATTAGCTCAAGCTACAGGTTTCGAACAGTTTAGCAATAAACCTAGAAAGAAGGGTAGGTTTTATTGTTTTAATATTAATACCAGAAATTGTTCTCCAGAAATTCTCTTAAGAGAAAGTAGTAATAATTTGAGGTTGTTTGGAATTATAAGCAGTTTTTTGTGGTTGAAATTTACAAAACGTCGTGCTTTCTATCAAATACTTATCTTTATTCAGTCCAAAGGATTTACAATACATAAGTACATGTTTCTGTTAACCACTTGTGTCATCTAGTGAAATTGACAGTGCAATAAATGGTCAAGTGATACTTAACAAACTAAACTCATCTCGTAATTTAGGAAAACAATCTTTATTTCATAATCTAATTATAATAACTGACTCATTTTTGTTTTAATATTAATTGATGAACGGTGAATAATTTGGATGAATCTTATATAGCCTGTCTAACACCACTAGTTAGAAGCAAAACTATCATTTCGATCAAAAGAATAAACATGTATGCGAAATTAAAGTGTTTATCAACTAAAGAGGTTGTAAGTTGATGGTTAGAGGTATCTATAGAAACCTTGAATTCAAATTTTTGCTTTTTGATACTCGTCAGGAAGATGTGCATAACGCTTTCTTGCGGATTCGATCCTGTGTCACTTAGCTTGACAGTCAAAGACTTTGCCGCTGAGATATTCGCGCCACAACTGACCTCCTAGAGGCCTGAGATTTATTTACAATTGATTGAGCACTGAACAGTGACCAGTGTCACATATGTCAAATCCCTCTCAATGCTGTTCCAGTTCTGTAGACCGAGTTGTAGTTAAAAAGACTTCCTATATGAAAGAGATACTTATTGTTAGTAAAAAGTGTGAATCCGGGTGTTTTTAAATACTAAACCAAAACGGTTTTAAAAAAGCACTGTTCTGTCGCAAAAGGCTAAGACATTATTAGTCAAGATTTTAAAAATGCAGATATTTTTTACATCGAAATTTATTTTAGTTCATTGTGGAATTTAGTCTCGATAGATTTTACTACGGAAAGTAATTATATAACGTTCTGTGTGACCAACGATTCATTGATTATATTTTTTTCTAGTCTACAAATTTTACCATTATTGTTATAACGGTTGGTTTTCCACGTTTACACGTATGGGAAGTTAATTTACCTTAAACGAATATCTGCACTAGATTACCACCCAGTGTCTATTCTACAGGACTTCAACGCAACTCAAATCAAGAACACGTGATTAGCCTGATCACAACGTAAATATATTTCCACACCAAAACCCGACACAATCCAACAACAATGAACAATCAATAATAAGTGAGTAATAATATTAATAAGGATAGGAGAATATATAACTCATCTGACACTTGTCAGACTATCTACATGTTTGACTAAGCAGACAACCGATCATTATCATTTTCATCCACACATCAAGTATATAATAAACTATTATCAAAAATTTTATTATCACGTTGGGATGCTTTAACGATTTTATTTATGCTTAATTGTCGACAGTATCAAAGTAGATGTTGTTTACTGATGATAATTCTTTTCATTTCTTATTGATAGTTAAAATAAATAGAAGATAAATGGAAATATCAAACAATAAAATTGAATTGATCACTTGTTCTCCAAGGTGTCATCATTATAAGCATTTGTCTGATTAATATTTTAGTTTGGAATGAAAAAACATCATCATAAATTATATCATTTCACTAAAATATAGCGAATATTAACAATCTCTTTTAATTAAAGGTTCATATTTTACCGATTACAAATAAAAAAATACTTGATTGTTAACAAAACTGTTTTTATTTTTAATCTTATGTATTATTGGTTTATTTATATTTTAGAAGAAGCAATATTGCAGCAACAATTACTTGAGCTATTACCAATGGTAAATGAAGTCAACGCTATAGCAGATGAATTGAATAAACAAAGAACATTTGAAGTGATTTTACTGCCACCAACTGCACAAGCTTTAAAATACGGTGAATCAAAGCGTACAAAGTAGGCGTTATCACAGCTTTTCGAAGTTGTTTAACTCATACGTTTTCGATGTTATGCGTAAGATTTGATTAGTAGATATAATGGTTTTTATAACAATGGTTATGACATTCTATATATTTCTACAGACAGAGTGACATTTAAATTCTGAGTGCGACTGAAAAGTAGATGACTAAATTTCCACTGTAACTTTTCATATCGGTTATCGATGATCAGTGGGAATTTCTAATCATGTTAATATCTATAAAAAAGGGGTATATGTAAGTTTTATGTAAGTCATGGTCATTTTACCTATTTGATCAACGTCGTGGTCCAAGAGTTTACAGCTTATGATTTCTAGCTACAAAAGGGTTTTCATTTTAAGATTTTCAATGTTTGTCAAGTACAGTTCTGATAATAACATAACTATTAGATGACATTAAAACTGTTAGGGATGCAGAGGAATATACCAATAATTATCATGTTAAGTCTAATGGTGGCCTTGGACTTTAAATGTACACTCCCTATTGGTCAATATTTGTTTCACTCGTTAAATATCGTACAAATGTTGTTTTTCTATTTTATGGTACGATGTGGTTTGTTTGGTTGGTATATAAACGGAGTATGTCTGAAATATAATGATTCATAACTCGGAGGCTGAGATTTGTGCTCTGGACTCAACTGGCTGGGCTAGACAGGGAAGCGGGACCAATCAGAACCCTAGGCCGTCCGTATGTGTTTACGTGTCACTGTAATCGATCGATAAATACGCTTCACTCTAATCTGCAGTCACACACGTCACAACAAAAACGTCTGTGGTTTTCTCCTAATATCTAATGATAGATTTTGAGGACTTAAAACTAAATGTAAAGAGAGTGGTCATTGATTTGAATGTTATCGAGACATGTGCCCACTATGTTTATGTGCACACTATTTTCGTCCATATATATGAAGATATAACGTTCTGAGAAACAAATTATCTCTGAATGTAACCACGCTCAAACCTGAGTCAAAACTAGTGATGACGTGATTTCTAGGAATCATTGTTACTAAAAAAACAATCACTGCACAAATTATCGGTTTGCATATCCACCTCAAAACAGTAATAACTAATAACACCACTTTTAGAATTTTAAGTATTATTGGGTAATAGGTTTAAGGAGTGAAGAGACGGGAGTTGCAAAATATTCATGTGTGGGTGTGTGAAATAAACTACAGTTGTCTTAATGTTAATATGGTTATAAAGCCTCATACATTTCAGTTCATAACCTTTTATTATCCCGTCACAACTTCCTTAAAATTCATTAAATATACCCGGACAGTACGAAACACAATTAATAGCTACTTAAAAAAGTTTACGAAATGATAAATTTATTTGCTTACAAAGTTAATCAAATGTCATCGGTAAACTGAATGGTATCACGTGTTTTTAAATTCCGTAGAGTTATGGTTCGCATGATTTGTACGAATACAGGTCAAATGTGCTTGTGGGAAAGAGAAAAATTCATGACAAGAAGATTTTTAATGCAGGTAAGGAGTAAAGAATATAAGTATTTTAAAAATATTTAACTGTTAGGTTGTACTGTCATCCGTTTATGCTAATGATATGCTGATATAAGCTCCAAAATCACCTACTTGAGTAAAAAGGGACGAGAGTGAGAAGGGTTGCTTGGCTAAAACTGAGTCGAGAATACATATACGCTCAATGATATGTAAACGTCTTTCTTCCGTTCAAAGTAAAACCATATTATGAATCACTAGTGTGTATCAATATCCTTAGAAAATTAAGCGAAATCTTAGTCAATTGTATGTGCATATCTTTGTTCCATGTCTAATTGAGCCCGTGTATCACTATCTAAAATTATTTTTTCTCGGTAGGAGTGCAATTTAGTCATGCGTTGTCCGTGAAAAAACAATGATACACTATACATAGCATATGAAACAGATTTTCACAACTGGAGTTTGATTAATAAAATGTAATCAACATTAAATTGTATTTACTAACTAGAAATTTGTAATTGCAAGTCGTCTTTATTTGACTAAATGCTTATTCGATCACAGTTATCTGTAAATGAAAGATTACCGTGCATATTATTATTACGATACGTTCTGACTGAGTAAAGGAATACGTTATAATTCCAGTTCATGTAAATTGTAATTTTTTCCAGTAGTAAAGCATTCTTAGATATTTCAGAACTTGATTTTGACGTCCGCATACTTATTATGTAAATTATACTAAAGCTTAGAATTCACGTTGGTTATATAGGAAAATGAAGCCAATCGATGACATCATAGTACAGTTAAAGAAGCTTGAAGAGGACATGTTGCTTATAAAGCCTCCTTTTTGGGTATACGACATCTATTTCTAAAGTTAAAATTATTTAGTCACTATCAAAAATTCAGTTAATTATTTTAGATAAGAAACCATCATAGTATCAGGTTAGCAAAACTGTAAGGATTCTATGTACTATCAGGACTAAATACATCAACTATGCATAAGTCTTAATTTGTAAGTCGTTTTCAAGATAGTTACACTAAATAAACTAACAGAAAATAATTAGTGGAGTTTTCATATTAATAAATAGAAAATAAATTTGATACCGTTTCTGAAGGTATTGTTTATAAAAATATGTTGAACAAATATTCATAATAAATGTTTTGTAAACACTAATTCCAGATCAGATATTCAAGTGATATCTTACCTCATTGATAGACAACATGATCAGTTACGAATTTATCAACCATCAAGCATTTAATCTGTTATATATTTACATCAAGACATGACAAATACAAGCTGAGCAAAGAAATATTACTTGTCAATTAACTTCTCTTCAACTGTTTACACGAATATCTATGTTTTGAACAGTTAAAAACAAAATCAACACTAAATAAATGATTCTTGGTTAGTGTAACAATTCATCTCAATATTTACTCTAAAACAGTATTAGGTCTGAAACTTAACGGATTTTAAATTAGATATAAAGATAGGATTAAATAACAGGTTATTTATAACAACTCACTGGACACAAATAAGAAGTCAGTAAGTTCAAAATCAGGCAATTGGATATAACTGTTTATTGTTAACTGTAAAATTAATCATATGTAACTAATAGAACAGGCACATAGAACATTAGGTAATCAGGTAAGTAGATTATGTGGATCGAAGTTTTAAACTAAAAATGAATAGATTCGGAAATAATTTTTTCATTGAGAAAGACAATAGTAACTAAAAAAGTATATGATAAATTAAGAGGATGAATAAACTTTTTCTGAACACAAAGAATAAGTTTGCTTATGCACATACCTATTGCTTATGTTTTGTCTAAAAGATGATGCCATTCGATAAATAATTTTGTACATTAAATTTATATTAACATAGTGATTGATATTTAATAAATGTTTATAGCTCATTAAGGCTGTCTATATTTTAACTTATTTCTTAGAAAAGTTTATTGTTATGAAAATGAGTGTCTACTTCTTTCTAACACTAGGTTATCTGATTATTTAGTAAAGTCTACTTTTCATCTACAGAAAACGGGGATCTAATGAAAAACGGTTTCAGTTTAAAGAAATCAGTCCATTTCAATAGTTGGAATCATTAGTCAATTGAAGCTAGATCACCATGGAAAACCTGGAAGCAATGGACGGCCGTTTCGTCCTAGTATGTGGCTCCTTAGCAGCGCGTATCCACGATCCCCCCCCGCGAGAGTCGAATCCAGGACCTACTAGTGCTTAACCATTAGACCACTGAGCCGACATTCAACGGTGTTAATGTCTAACTTCAACCAATCCATGAAATTACACCACCGTCACCATTGTCTTCAGTGAGCTGATATCTTACAACAGACCTAGTTGAACCCCACTGCTTACGGCTTCTCACTAGAACTCCAGGAGTGTCTCTTGAAGTCAGTCACTAGTGAGCAGATTATTATTATCAGAACCTATAATACATGAAAACGATTGTGTCACATCCCACTGCGTTCACTAATTTAAATGTGTGTGTGGTCACACATACATAGGGAGGAGCAGTTTTGATCTCAAAATTAGGGTGTGTGAACATGTACCAAAATGGTTGCAGAAACAAATGCATCCAATTGACTCAATAAGAGTAGAGGATAAACATCCATCGTCCTCTGTTGCTAAATATATAATCTAAACAGGCCATAAAATTGATCTTAACTCGGCTTTTGTTGTGTTGTATACAAATGTAAAAGGGCATATGCTAAGGTTTATTGAAGCCTTAGCCATACGAAAATTCAAACTCCCTTTGTGTATTCAAAAACAGTTTGTTCTCACCTTAAACCTACTCTGGTAATATTGACTTACTATCCAGAGTGATTAGGTTTCAAATTGTGTTCACATTATTATTATTATTATTATTATTATTATTATTATTATTATTATTATTATTATTATCCGTGTTTCCTCTTACTCCATTTCCAGTCTAGTTGACCTTTTATTTTTATACATAAATGTTCTTAACAAGTATATGTGTGATTAGATTGTTCGGAATGTATTGCTCTAATATATCACATGGTTTCAGTTTATTTTACTTGTCTAGAGCGCTTATTGTTTCCCAGTGAAATTATCTCGTGCACTTCGTCCTACTAAAAATACATCTAGTCAAGAAATATAACATAGAATAGGATAAGAAACAATAGGGCACGACACAATAGAATAGAGTAATAACGAAACACACTAGGGTATAATTATATTCCGCAAACAACGTATAATAATTTTGCAGGAATTAAAAACACTTGTTATCTATATGAGTAAGAACAGAGTATGTAATACTCTCACAAATATACATTGAAATGTCATCAAAGTACTTTTTTCTACATTGTTTAACAAACAAAGATTTGTAGAATCTGTTAGCATACATTTATCATAGAAAGGAATAATTGTTTTCCTACACGTTTTCCCAGTCAAACACCGGCATACGGATATCAGAATTCTCTATCAATTATTATACAATATGAACTATAATGTTGTCGAGATAAGTAATTGATTAACATTATAATATTGTGTATAGATAACGTTTTATCAGTATGATATCATGGTAAATGGAATAAAATTACGCGTACAATCTCTGATTTTAACATTGTCAAAACCTTCTTTCATATTTTCCTTCTCAGAAAATGTATCGTTTCATAATCCTCTATCATTCTTTCATAATTATTATGATTATCCGATTTCTGGATCATTACATACAGCTTCCTTCCTATCTATGAACTATTAATGATACAATACTACGTTACTGCTGATACGTTTGGAAAAAATATGCAGCATCTTATTTATTTACAAACTATCCAATTCGATTTTTAAGTATCATTATTGATAAATCTTAAAAATAACACAACATCCCTCTATTTTACTGTGGAAAACTATTTGTAAAACGTAGTTATAAACACGATTATACAATTTAGATAAGTGACATCAGCGGTAATGAAATATTTTACTCTGATTTCCCTTAAATTGTTACTCATTTACGAAAATGTAAACCGTCAATCATTCACCAACATTAGACTCATTTAACGTTTAGCATTAGTTAAATGTACCGCTTGCATAAGGTTACCATGGCTATTTATTTAAACAACAATGATTGCTTTGATCCCATAAGCATCTGGCGATACATCATGCAGACATCCTGTAGGGTTTTCTGTCCATAATTTGCACATATAAATTCGGTTACAACGATGACAGCAACTCCAGAAACAAATAGAGAATAGATGCATCTTAGATACCTTTCCGTCAAACAACGAAACTATGAGCTACTCTCATGAACAGTCCAACGCTTATACACAGTTTCTCGGCCTCATTGTTCCAAATAGACTGGTGTAATGTGAACAAACACCATTTATTGAACAATAGGTAAGCTCTTCACTAGATTTTTGGAAGTGTGTTTATGATTGGTCTAAGAGGAATAGGAGAAGTAATAAAACAAATCACAAACTCACACCTTTAAAATTTAGTAATCGCAGACTATGCATAATTCAGTTATATGCAGCAAATTTATCCCCGTCTAGAGCATTTAAAAAAAACATTTATTGGAAAAGCGATCATAGTCTTTTTGTTAAGTCATACATTTTTCTACAAATATTACAGTCCATCAAATACACAACTTCTAATTACTTAGTCTGTCATTACTATGTTGAAAAGGTAATGATATTCTACGATAATAACTTACATTTAATGCCACCAATGCACTTATTAGATCTGCATTATTGTAGACAAAGTTGCTATTAAAGTTGGTAAAAGTTTTCAGATCCCACTCAACTATAAACGAGTCACCTCATCGGTTCAACGTCTTAAACAAGGACACAAGCAAATAACCAATAAAATGAGTAGATTACAAAGGACTTGGGAAATTTAAACTTCTAACCACCATAACATTCTAACTGACAGTTGCTGTGCTTATATTTTGATAGTTAGATAGTCCATTCATTCATTTGTAAATATTTTAATCAATTTCATAATTTTTTATGAATAGATGTCAGGGATTACAATCACTGGTATAATAATGTTCACTTTTAATGAAGAATTACTTGAAAATAAATATTTCTTAGTTTAGCTTTAGTGACTTAATTTTATCTTGGTCAAATCGACATAAACATAAGGTGACATTTTCTTTTCTAACTTGTAATAGGATATGTATCAAAAAAGTTTGAGTAAACAACTAGAGGATTATTTACAAGAATCTGATCCATTTTGGGAACCATTAGAAGATTTATTTATTGGTATAGCACCAGCGTTTCTTCGCGCATTAGCTTATCGACTTGATGTGGATGAAGAATTAAAAATCATGGATTTTATTGGTGATGAGTTGGGAACTATTAATATAAAATTGATACCTTGTTCAGCGTCCAATTCAAAGTCTGCGTTACCATCAAATAATGCCTCTTCTAACAAAAAGGATGACGTAACGTTTATCGAAGATCCTAGAGAATTAATTGGGAAGCCTTACAGTTTCAAGGTAAGCATCAGCCAGTAACCAATCATTAGAACATTATATTACTTATCAGGATAGACTATATCGTTACAGAATAACTAGACATGTTAATTTATGGAAGCATATATGAATTCATTACATTTTGTAAACGTTATAATTAGCTAAACAGAATTTTAATGCATCGTTAAGCATTTGTTTGACACTTAAATTGACATACCAAAAATTCTCATTCTTCACATCAATTAAATAACTTTAGACTTTATTCTTTATCTTGTTTTAGGGCGGATATCTCAAAAGTCCACTAAGAAACTGCGATCTGTACAGACAGACAAGTTAAGACTGAAGTCTATTCCCAGTGATATTATATTCTAATGATCTTACCTAGTGATTAAGCTCAAAAACATAACCACTTAAATTTAAGTTTGGAATAATGTGAAAATTTTACAAGCGTAAGATTCATTATTTTTAATGCACTGTATCATTACCATTAAAAATAACAAAAATGGGACCAAACCAGTTACGACTAGAATAGAATTTCGTCACCCTTTAAGAGTTGAATTTGGTTTCTAGAGCATTATTTCTCAAAAAAAAGAAACAATACAATATAAACCAAGCACTTATTTAATATTTGTCAGTTACTTCACTTACAGATTTAAGAGGATCAATTTATTGAAGCTATTTTAATATTTGCTCATTAAATGATGACAAGAAATAAGAATTTTCGCTTAGTGTGCATCATCCTAACTAAACGACCAAAACATAAGTGCAGCACCTCGATAAGCCATTCTTTCGAAATCTCATGGAAACGGATAATGTTCACGTGATAAAGCAAACTAACTGAAGATAGAAATTAGGACAACTGATTGCCAACCCAGTAGACTGAATGTTAGGTTGTCAACTCGAGACCTGACAATTCTCAGATTGATCCCCTATGGTGTGATGGTTGGGAACAGTTGAACAGTTCAATAGTAGAACGAACACTGTTTGATTTGTCTAGCGAATGTTGTGCACTTTGGTGTCGAATGTCGAATGCAGAGCAAGGACTGTTGACTGATAGTCATGATAACCCTCAACTGAATCACTACGAGTTGGTAGTCATAAGATCATATACGTTTTCCGAATGATTGTGGAAACATCTCTAATCCGACCTGTTGCACTGATAGAGTGAGAGCTAATGTGTCACTTGAGTTTCTGTTTCAAAATTCCCGTCAGCTTCGGTGTTTTCACCATAAATAACACTGATTAAGAATGTAAATGGAAGGTATAAACACATGTGGAGCTCAGCTACCAACACTGAAACGTGTATCAGGTGGAGTTTCTCCTCTTCAATATAGTCTATGAAACAAGTCATCATCTGAACTTGTTGATAGCTACGTGAATAGTTTAACGAATCAGTCATTTGGTCAAATGCAACCTAGAAACTGGTACATCTGTACAGTGGTTCAGGTCGACATACACCATTAACACATTGGTCTGAAATTGTCAGAGTAATTCCCCGAGTAGTAGATGTAGTAACAGTACAACTTATTTAAATAAGGCATTCATACTCAAAACTTCATTTTGTCTACAGCTATTACATCTTATATAGTTTCTATAAATAGACCATATTTCTCTACAGGAATCATTGGTGTTACAAGTTGTTCTATGTCAATTACTACAAAGTTTTGTAAGATATGTTTGAATATTCGCGTCGTTGATGTTGAGGACTGAAATCGATTTCGCTGTTAATCGGTATCGAACTCTGAGTAAAGTACTACAAACGTTGTTTCAATAATAAGAATCACTGTAATTCAAAAATATTATGTACATCTATGTGTAAAGTAAATTTGGTAATAGGTTTGGAAATTCGTGCACTTTTTGTTGAATTTTTATGCTGATCCATTAAAGTGGAAATTATATTTGTAAGATTCTCAGAGATTGAAATGAGAATGATTTCAATGTTTCACTGTGATTTCAGATTAGATCTTCTTTAGTGAAATAATCCGAAATCAGAACTATCAAATATAAATCGACTCACAAAACAATTGTGTACTAAATCTATTGCCTATTCATCTGTTCAAATTTAGATAAAATTTGTTGCAATATAATTGCTGAATTGTATAAGAACTAAATTAATCAAATGTGACTATGATTTTCATTCATTGGAAATAATAGTAATTTTAATGATTTTGTGCATGTGTTTGTAAGTCTGGTGGTCTAATTGGCATCATGTTTGTTCTTTAATGCATAAATAAAAGAACATGATTAGAATTCACTGACAACATAGCTTACTGACACCGAAAACAACCCATTGAACTATTTATTAGTACACTATTTTGAAATATTTGCATCGAATTAACTAAATTGTAATTTATATATTTTTAAGAGTAAAGTCATTACCATTGCTTTTAAAAACTACGTTATTAATTTTACCATATCTCCACAAAAAATACTCATTGTCCCTATCAAAATATTTTGTTCCCTTATCATAATACATTAAACTTTTAGAAAAATAATTTTTCATTCATGCAAAACCTGGCCTATTAAACTTAGTCAAATGCATTGATCGTATATATCATACATATATGTTGTTCGTTGAACTACAAATATGCTATAACAAAGAACACTATTTACAAATAATAGACGAAATTTATACTACTTACCGTGCTTTTTTAGTCAATGATCTACGTACAAACATGGGATTACTTTACCAAATAATTTACAATTCACATCACTGTACTATTGACAAGATAGCATTTGCAGATTGATTCTTATTGTTATAAATATATAATGGTCGAGGGTATACAATTTGAAATTCTTTTTCTCAAAAAATCTATATTTTCTCGCTCGTGAATAACTTTTTCGCCATTATAAAATACATACTATTGCAACAGATAATGCGCACTCACCACTCATTTTATAGCTGTTTTCTTCTTGATTTTCGTTCAAATCTGAATAATTAAACACAGATTCACTTCGATATTGATTCTTTTTATATAAAAGTCGTTTAGCTGTCTATAAAAGTGGATATTTGACAAAATTTCTGGATAAAATGAAATATTAGAAATATGCGCATTATTTATAATTAATAACAAATTTGCATTGCAGTAAATTCCTGTATGCTAACACTTCTTGTCAACAGTCAAACACTGATCTTCGTTTGAATTCAAAGATGTTTTAAAGAGTTATCTGATGAAGACATAATTTTTCTAGCATACTATTTTATTGGTGTATGACTGTCAGACTGAAAAGCCTCTAGTTTCTGAAAACAGTAGATATGACGGGAAAATTTTTAATCCTCATGAAGTCTAAGCTTGAAGTTTTCATTATTAGGCATCACAAGAACTTATGGGCTTTTTACATTACAGTGTCGTTGACAAATAATATTACTGGTTAAAATAAATATGAAACATGATTACTGTGTTGAAATTTTTTTACACCTGGACAAAATAATAACCGAGATATTTACGTAAGCCTGTCTAATTTGTCCTTTTTAAAAAATAAGTTTTTCATATGTTTTTTTCCCAACAGATAATATTAGGTTCGCTGAATTTATATGACTCAGAACAGAATAAACACAAATATACAGTGTATTATCGTATATTTAAAGAATCGGAATTAACAGCAGCCAAGATGGAATCTAATAAATTACATACACGTTTGTATTCAATAGATCAAATTACACATGAATATTTAGACTATTTTCATACAGAATTTATATGTTTCATGATTTATTGTTCACAATTTGAAAAAGATGTTAAAAAAACATTCGATGTAAGTTATTCATTAATATTTTATTGAGATTTTTTTATTAAACCCTTTTTGATCTAAGTTGATATTACACAAATAAATGACTGAAAACATAAATTATTTGAATATTTGTTTGAATACATTTTCAAACTAGTCTTTCGGTAAGCATAAATGAACTCAGCTGAAGCTTATTGCTATAATTTGGTCCTATTTAACGAGCATGTTCTATAATGTTCTGTACATGTGTTGTTGTCGTTCAAAAATGATATTATCAGTTTATAATATTGCCTACTTTTGTAAGTTATCACATGGGTTTTTTAATCTGATCCATATCTTTAAGATTTCTAATCCATCTTCACACTAAAAAAGTTGACTTACACTGCTGTTTTAATAAATACTGGTAGTTATGTATAGATCTTGTTTAATCTGACGTAGAATTTCACCAAGAAATAGCAACAACTAGGAAACCAATAAAAGTTCAACAATTTCTCTTATACTTTGTATACTCTACGTCTCTGGATTAGGAGGAACAGATATTCATCTTTAAATTAACGAATATATATTTAGTTGTTATAAAATTGGCGGCTTTATGTGCAGAGAAGGGTTTAGTTCTGCAGTTGTGAGTTAACTGCAAATATGTAAGTATTTATGATATGATAAATGTATACTATGTAAGTTGTTATTAACAATGAAATGTTTACTTGATCACACCCATCGTTTGAAAATTTAAGGGGAATTTTAGGAAAGCAATTGGTAGTTTAGTTTGAGAACCGGCTCGTCAATGAATCGAATATACAACTAATCATTTGAGATATTTCCTTTAGTTAAACAGTCTTACTTTATTAACTGCTCATATTTTACTTGTATCAGAAAATTAGAATAAACCATTTCGACTATTTTACAAGTATGAGATAGCGGTGATTGGTATAGAACTGCTCTTTATTAAGAAGGTTAAATAGTCTTTGAATCAACGAAAATGCAAATTTTCATCCATTCAGCAGAAATATTTTTCTATAATCTTTATTACCAGCGGTTAGTAACTCATTTTTATCTGATTTCTGAAAAACAAACAATAGCTATTTCGTTGTTTACTGTCTTAAATATTCTATTTTTATATCATGAAGTTACTTTGTACAATAAAGTGTAATTTGTCCAGCAATAATATGACATTATTTACATCTTTCTAACTTGGATACTTAATTATTCATAAGGACTTTTTTAGGACAAAATATCAGGGATCCCACAAATTGTGATTTATTTCTGTTGTCAGTAGCGTGTACATATAGTCATTTATACTTATTCCTCATTTATTGAAATCAGTTATTATAGTGTAACTTAAACCAATGAGCTATATTGACTTGAAATTCTCTATTTTTGATTATCTTAATTCATAACTAAAATTTTAGTTTTATAAAGACTACAGATAAGGCTTGTTTATGGGTGGATGATAAGGGATTAGGCGAACATTATGTTATTTCTTTAGTGTCTTAAGTTGTTTATTGCCCGAATTTCCTCGTCATTACTAGACGTGTTTGTTGCTTCGTTTGCTTACTAAAGTGGTAAATAGTTTTATTTTTCAGTAAAAAGTATTAATTCGGGTGACTTTCTGTTTTCTGAATACTTTTGACTAGGTTTATTCACCTGCACCGTTACTTTCAAGACGTTATTCTCGCCTATCTGTCGAAGAATTAGATGATATCAGTAAATTAAAAACAGAGTTAACTATTTTACAAAGAGGATTGGATTCATTTTCGAAAAAAGATAAACAACTAGATGTAAGTTCACTTGGTATTGTTTACTTGAATCTTCCCACTGATGTTTAGGACTACAGTTGATCAGTCTCTTATTGGTATATGTGCATACTGTGCGGATTGCTTCGATATTGTCTTAGTTCACAAACATTATAAGCAAAGATGGATAGTGGCTAGCAGTGGAGTCCAGAACGCGCGTTTCGTCCTTTTTGAGACTCGTCAGCCGGATGTACCTGAATCCCAGGGTTGATGTTCACTCCGGGACTCGAGCCCAGTAGTTGTAAGATAATTTATTTCTAAAAACGCAAATTGCAAGAACATGAGTTTCATGTATATCGATTTTCTTTGAAGTTTTAAATGCATAATTGTCTAAGTTCGAACGGCGAACGATAGGGTTTTATCATCAGTACAGTCTTTTAGATTCCCAAGATGATGAAGACATAAGTTGAGATTTAGAAAGTCCTGAGTGTTTAGTAAATTATTTACAACTCAAGACACCATACTTACATATCACTTAAGTAATTGTCTGTGGAAAACTGAAATAATTAAAGTTTCAATGCATATCTATAAAAACAGCATATTATAACGAATTGATTCACACTAACTGAGTTACCTGGTGAGTATCAGCTTTTAACGACCCCTCCGATGGTGTCGATTTATTTTATGTAATCTGTACAAAAATCACATTGGACGCTTAACAATATATTCCAGAATCTTACTCAGTTTGAACAGGGGCACTTACAACTGAATACTTTTAATACAGTTTGGAATATGAATAATAGTCATAATGTTTGATTTTTTGTATTTAACGTAATTAAAATCAAACCGTATTTTTGGTTTTCATAACCTATTTCATTTGCAGAAACTGTATAAATCTTGGGCTAACAAATCTTCATCAGCTGATAATTTCAAATTATTATTAGAGGATGTTCACAAACTAGTTAACATGAAAATTCCTTCCATTAATCTATCAACTGCATTAGAAAAGAAAACTGTAAGTTTTTTGTGCTCATTTGTTATGAAAACCAGAACGATTAATTAATTAAAAATTTGATAACATCTCTGATTGTAGCACTTCTAATCTCATGGGGAGCTTTATTTCCTTCTAGACTGTAGATACTATCTGCTAGAGTTTTAACTATCACATAAATTATATCTAAGGCTTACTGGATATATAATCTCTAGCCACTTAACGTTTTTAGTGGAGGTTTGAAACTTCTAAAATTCTATCATCTGATAATAAATACTTTTAAGTGAAAGTATTTACTTTCAGAATTAGAGATTACCCTAATATATTTCTTAATAATCTCTGTGATGTTTTTATCGACGAAGATATGTTACTTTGTGTACGAAGATATTAGTTATTATCATTTTGATAATAATGTGAAATTGATGGATACATGCATAAGGTAAACAGCACAATTCATTAATTAGCTTTTCTTTTATAAGATTTTAATTCGACAATATTTTTGCTAAATAAGCAAATATTAATTCATAGGTTAGTAGCTTGGTGAATATAAAAATTTTTTTCGGTGAAATCATTTACTTAAGCTGTATATTCATATTTGGTAAATATTTGTCTATAGGAGGATAGGAAAGATTGCGTCATAAAGTGATTCAACACTCCAATTATCAAATGAGGTTACGTAATAATCAGGGGGTTAAATAAGAATAGAAGGATGAAAACAATTTACGGGCCAAAATTTCGAAGGAAAAATGAAAAACATAAAGGTCATAATAATAACTGAATGACAATCATCAAAAGTTATTAAAGGATAATAACTGATTACGGTTTAATATTACAAAACGCTAATAAAAAAATATATAAAAAACATACTGCAGAAGGGAATTAGGACCGAAGAAGGATGAGAGGTTGGACGTATCGTTTTTGCACGCAGAGTTTGGGCTTGAATTGGTGGATCGCCAACACCACAGCAGTTTTTGATTTGACCTCCCTTCACTCCAGTTCCTTTGATTGTGTAGATTATTTTAAAGGAGGACTTCGGAGTGACGTGTCTAAAGTTGATTGAATGTTTCTGTATTGAACTGGCAACTGTTTTGCATTCTTTTAAAAGCCATGCCAGGTAATATTCTGGGATGGGTTTAAAAAGCGATCACTTTATGAGGCCAATGTAACCTATCCCACAGGAGCAAATAAATTTATAGATGCAAATGGACGTGACCCAAAGCGGAAGTTTATCCTTAACATATCTGTGAATGGCAGACCAGATTCAGAAGTCAATGTGGAGCTTAGCTGAGTAGGTTTTGTTCAGGGATTTTCAAATCCGTTTATTTAAGATTTCAGCAGCTGTATCTCCTTTAAATTCAATATTCATAAAAAGAGTTGGTGCCTTTTCAGGGTGTTGACTAAATGTTAAGTTCCTATCGATGAATCTGGGTGGATAACCACTCTTGATAAGTGTCTGTCGAAGTTGAAATAGTTCATCATCTATTGTCAGTAGAACATATTCGCCTGATGCTTGAGGTTCAAGAGTGAATTAAGTTCCTCTTTGCACTCAGTGGGACCCAGGTATGGAAATTCGTGCACTGCTCATTCCGAGTTGGTTTTTCTATATATAGATCTCTGTAAAAAACAGATCTGACCTTTACAACCGGACATCAAGAAAGTGCAATTCTTCGTTCGCCTCTGCTTCCAACGTGTATTGAATTGAGGGGTGACGATTATTGAAACGATTCAAAATTTCATTGAGGCCTATATCTTCCTCACAAATAGTGAAAGTACCATCCATGTATCTTTTATATAAATAAAATCTTACAATTATTGGTCGAAGTACCTTATTTTACCGATTGGCCATAAAACAGTCAACCAAGAGCAGACCCAACGGTGAACCCATTGCAACTGAATTGCACATTGAGTAAATGATTACGTCGAAGAGGAAAATTTCCTCGCTGAATACTCTTTATTTAAGGATGCAATGGGTTATTTTATTATTAGTAGCTTGTTTTTGACACAAGAATACTATGTCATAAGTAGCTGGAAATTAGATTCCAATTTTTAACTACATACGAAATTGTGTTGATTGATCGACAGTTAGCTTTGTTAATGGTTTTCAAGCTCAAGTATGGGAAACGGAAGTAGAAGAAACAAGACGTAACACATCACATTTTAAAAGTTAAATTCACAAATTTGCTATATTATTGTTTTCGAGTTAGAAATCTTATTTACAATATTTTCATCTTCAAACTAAGTTTAAATTCAATCGACAGTTAACGTGGTTCGTAAACCTCTTTTGTAACCTATAGGTTTATGTACTTTGATCTGAGCTACTGTGTTTTGCATGAGAACTAGTTTTACTACTCGCCTACTCGTAACGGTATGAGGGTAAAAAGTGTTCGTACCCAAGACCTATTAGTTAGAATCCTTAGTGCTCTGAACATTGAAACATACGTCTACCTACTAAGGTGACTCTAAGATACAACTTGGCAATACACAATACTTCAGCAGGTGAGATCATGAGTCAATTGAAGCTAGATCACCATGGAAAACCCGGAAGCAATGGACGGCCGTTTCGTCCTATTGTGGGGCTCCTCAGCATTGCGCACCCACGATCCCGCGCCCCGCAAGATTCGAACCCAGGACCTATCAGTCTCACGCCATGCGCTTAACCAACTAGAGCACTGAGCCGGCATTCAACGGTGTTAATGTCTAACTTCAAACAATCCACGAAGTTGCGCCACTGCACACCATTGTCTTCATTGAGCTGATATCTCACAACAGACCTGATTGAACCCCACTGCTCACGGCTTCTCACTAGAACTCCAGGAGTGTCTCTTGAAGTCAGTCACTAGAGAGCAGATGATTATTATTACTACAATTTCCACAAAACCCCTTCTGATACTAATACACAATATCTCCATTAAAACTTAAGTAATCATGAATTTTGATTATTCACTTAATTAATATTAATATAGTGCAGCTACAAACACTGTTATTCTAGACGTTTCCCAGTGATTTCTCAATCAATCTCATCTAAAAAAATAAGACTGTGCTTGTTGGAATTATTTATCACACTGATTCACGTTTACGTGTAAGTGAATCATGGATAAAATGACATTCTTAAAAATTCTTTTTTTAGCCTACTTTTTATTTTGGATTTGGGAAAAGATATAATAGCTTTAAAAAAAGTAATCACTAGATAGTTCATATATGGGTTTTACCAATTCAAAGTCTTCAGTGAAGAAATTTTTTTCAGAATATTTTAAAACTAAATAGTTTGAGTTAAAAAGACTTAATAAACTGTTAGATTTATACTATTGGATAAAGATAATTTACGATCATTGTTATAATATGAAACTAGACGTCTACGCAGCTTTGAATTTGCATTATATACAATGTACGTAATCTTATTGTAGACATGGATTGTAATTTGAAATATCCATTTATTAATAACAAAATCAAATGTTTTTTTAAAAAAATTACTTTCGTTTATTCGTTTATGATAATTTGTTTTCCTCTATTTGTTTTAGTGAACTTATTCAAACTAATATTTTACGTACTCAGAAGTTTGTGCAATATTTCAAAACAAGAAAAATAAGCTTTCTGATGTTGGGCTGTTGAATGATTTATTTATAAAATGATTAGATTATTCGCTTTAATCTTAGTTTATTCATATATATTTAGTTTTTCATTAATAATATGACCTTGGAACTGTTATATTCTATTAATATTATTATTAAACATTATTTATGACAATTTCTTTGTTTGAAATTTTAGTATTTATGGGGTGTCGAAAATCACGTCGAACAGTATCTCAGTATAATTTTTATTCACTGAAATAATGTACAAAGAATGAGAATTCATGATAAGTAACTACATAAATTGTCATAAAAAACCAGTTGTTACTATCACACTTATTTAGCAACATATTTGTTTCTCTAGTCAACAATTAACTGATCGAAACAAATATATTTAAGAAATCTAATCAATTGATCATTCATAAATTATATGGGACACTGTAAAAAATGTGTATTGGTTCATGTTACAGCATTTGTTGTGAAGACTAAGGTGATAAAAATAAGATGACAATAAAAAAATAGTGGAATAATATTAGCAGAACTAATAGTAGTGAAAAATAGAAAATATGGTTCGAAAAGCGTACATGAAGTTAAAAGATAGGAAGTGTGAGTTATTACTAAAACTTTTTACCTGTGAGTAAACAAAGAGCGAAATCTTCTATATCACTGCATTCAGTTTCAAATTATGTTACCCTAAATCTCTTATTACAAATTATGGTTATAAATGGGTTTTAAACAGGAAGTTATACATTCTTACATGGCTTAAAATAGCAAACATCGTTTTCATTTAATGAAGCCATTTATTATTTTGGTAACTCACGAACTATTAGGTTTCGTTGTAATCAGAAAAAGACCGAAGGCTTATCATGTTAACACTCGCTTACGTAGTACAGTATTAAAACTAATCATTATTACTGATTTCTATATATTGCATAATCAGCCAACTTTATAACGTGTCAATACACATATACATCTCACTTATGGGATAGACAAAGATCTTTTATTATCACCGTTCATCATAAAAATATCACTTTGACTTAATTCATGTATTATTAATATTCAAAGTACATTTTATCCTAATTGTGCTGAACATTATGTGCAAGTAAAGTGAAAATGTTTCTCCATAAATTTACTAAGTCACATACTAACTTATTTTTTGCCATATTAAAATGATCTCTTTAGTAATAATAGGAATAGTGATTATAATATTTGAACGTTGTATTCATTACATACTGATTTCATATAGGATACTATTGGAAACCAGATCCTAATATTTACGCCATGAAACACATATGGCGTGAAATCATAGTTTAAAATTGATACAAATTAAAACATATTTGCAGTTACTGAGTAGATCATTTGCTTGCCTACAACTTTATTTAACATTGCAGGCCTATGCTTCATGTTAGCGTTATAAACTAACACGAAACTATTGGTAAAAAAAATAATCTAATTCAAACGTTCAATAAAATTTATTTCAATATGAAGTAAACACCCATGAAAATTAGATAAACATGTTTGGAAAACTTTGAAAGTCTAAATCAAATATATATGTGATCAAGAATGCTCATTCGAGCATTCAAAAGAGGCTGGGTGAAAACACATTATTCATGAAGTCACCAATAATAAATGAAGGAACTAAAGTATGTTGTGATTAATTTCAGACTGTCATGGTCATCATGTATAATAATAATAATAATAATAGTAAACAATGAACTAAAGTTATTAACTATAAGACGTGATTATCGATGTATAATCTACAAGTATAAAAATGATCACTACAATGATTAAATATTAGCATATTTTCTGCAATGATTTTCGGAATATGATTCGTTTATTTATTTATTTTATGTTGATGAAAACAGTGCAGTATGTAATATAACAATTTAAAATGTGCGTTACTTCCATTTGTAGCTTTGACAATTAAGCAATCAGTGGAATAGCACGTGGCCTGTTGTTGTTGATGATGAGTGACTTTTCATGAAATGTTACATTGAGTGGACGTAATCTCTCTCTAAGAAATAATGGAATACAGACGAACAGTTGAGTTTATGAAAATTAAGACATAAGTTTAATTGCAGATCTATATAAATTATTGAATACTTGAAATAGATTTGCACTCATACTAATAGTTTACATTTGTGAATTGCTATTTTCAAATTTTGTCAATAATTTTAATTAAACTTTCAGATAATCTCTACTTTAATTGAGATAATGAACTGATAAATGTTGGACCACCATCGAGAACCTGGAAGCACTGGATAGCCGTTTCGTCCTAATATGGGACTCCTCAGCAGTGAGTACCCACAATCCCGCATAACCTTTAGACCACTGAGATGTCATCCAACGGTGTTAATGTCTAACTTCAATGTTGTTTTAACATTAATCAGTTCATGATCGCAATTAGAGCGCAACAATCTCCACAAGCGTGTACTGATAATCTCTATATTGATTGCTTTTCTACTTGTTTTCTGTATGTTATATATAACACTATACATTAGGATAGATTCGACTGTTTTGTGGAATTGTCTAGAATGCTTGATAGATCCCTCTGAATATTATGGACAAAAACACTGTATTATATCACAAAGTGACTGTGAGTAGCAGTCAAATCTATTCAGTCTTCATTTTTAATTTATTAGATTCTATTATTCTAAATATAATTTCTTGTTTCCTATTCATGAAGATTTTTTTCTGTGCTGTCTTAGTGCAATAAACTCTAACTGATATGGTATTTTAGGTCATTTTAATTTGATATGTCTATTTAACAAATCATAAATTGTGGGAAAGGCTAGACTTATATTTCAGCAATAAACCACAAGCAGTCAACTTGCCAATTCGACAGACATACATCCTTTTTAATAATATAAGTAATAGCTGAAAGTCAACAAGAATTATGAGGATATTTTTATGAGTAAATAAATCAAGCTTGTCATTGACGGTAAATATAGCGTGAATGTGTAGATGGCAACTGAAGACTAGTAAGTAATGTATCTAAATATTTAAACGTTAAAGTATAATTTCTTGTTTATCAGATCTTTTGACGTTTATCTAAGTTTCCAAGAAACTTTATTTCCATGATTAGAAAATAAAGTATTTTTATAGTATCTGACACAATATATTGATTGATTTGTTGAGATAAATAAATAAAATTATGCGATGGTATATAGACCTTAACAAGCTTCTATGATTACAGTGGTTAATAATTTTTCGATATCATTTTTAAGTCCATAGATTCAGGTCATGGGTAAATTAGATATTATTCTTATTCTGTCGAAATTGTCGGTGTATATCTTATACATTTCCTTCTTATTGATTAATAATCACGTATTCGTGTTGATGAATAATTCCATAATAAAAATAAATCGTAAATTTTGAAATAAAAATTGCAAACTACCTTAATTTTGAAGCTTCTTTTAGACTTAAACGTGCTGATGAAGTAGAGTCAAAAGAACACATAGCACCCCATACACACCGTGACCGATCATAATTTTCTGAATTGTAACGTCCAGGACCAACTGGACTCTGGAGTAGGAAGATAATAACGTTTTTTTACAATATCGAATTACACTTATTCATTTAATAGGTAGCAGACATTTATCTTTATAACTTGATTAACCTATATAAGTGAAATACAACCCCAAGTATATTTATAGGTTAGAAAAAATGACTATCTATCACTCAATGAAGTTATATTCTAAAGATTCAGGTAATAATAAATTGAAAAGAAAATGATCTTCAGTTAACAATACAGTACCAGTTTGGGAAGAATTTAATGTTGAAAGACACATTAAGTTTAAGGAAAATAACTTTGGATCACTTCAAACAGTGAATAGGAAAACTTTAAACTCATTCTTGATAATTATCATTGCTCATCGGTAAATTATTAATCTGAGTGGTCATTTTATGAGTAGTTTTTTCATGCTGTATAATAGCTTATCGCATGCAATCAACGGATGAATTCATAGCTTCTTGTTTATACAAATATATTCATTGCAACCTATTTCAATATGGGTAACCCATTACCTGATAATTTGAGTTACGTTTATCGTAAAACAACGTCAGGAAGAAACCACTGAAAACTAATTTGAAATAATCAGTCACTTTGACTCATATTGCAAGTCCTTATCCATGAAGTTTCAGGAATACCGATTACACCCAGAGCTTTCAGGTACAATAATTAACATGAACTTACTTAAATATTGAGTCCGTCAATACTACTCTACAGTTTTCTAATGTTTAGTAGGAAACAAAGAAATTGTTTTTTAGTTATAGACTAGTTAAATACCGTCCAATAGCCTATAGGTTATAATTTTAACAGGTCATAATTATTTTCTGAAAATATATGCCTCATTAAAATGGTTGACACCACCTGTACAGAAATTTATATATTTGAGGCTTTTATGTGTGTTCCAAATATCAACTATATATCTACTAAATAGGAGCTTTACTTAACTATACTCAAGGCACAGATGAATCTTCTGTTAAGATATTTATTAAATGTAATGTTACTATTCCAACAGTTTTTAAAAGAACTGATTTGATCTGTATTGATAAGTGTACGCGACTGACTGGTTTGCATTTCCAAAGATTGAGACATACACTATTAGTGGATTTATATATGAGAAGGCACGGATACCAATTTCTGTTTGACCAGCAAACTTCTTTCTCATTCTCAGTGTTTTCGCCCAGATAGCCGGTTGAGCCTATACATAAGAAGGTTGTATATCAGTATCAAAATTTGATATTGTAAGTTGCAAGAGAAACAAGAAGTTTCGTTTGATTATCTGTTCAAATACTGCGAGTCAATTACCTGCAAATTTACGCTGATACACCAGTACAAAAATAAGCAGATTGTAAAAAGAATGTAACAGTTTTTATTTAGTGTCCGATGTTTGAAAGAAAGTTTGTTGTTTCCTTTAAATATGTAAAGGAATCAGTTCAATGAAAAAACAATTACCTGTCTACTGGTAAATATTGAGTGTGAATTACGAGAGGCGCTGGACAAAAATGGAGGAGCTTGATGATTAAAACTTTTGTCCTTGTCATCTAGATATTTGGGATCATAATATCCTGGTCCTATCTTTAAAAAAATAAAGCGAAACCCAACAAACATAACTACATGCCATTATTGGTTCGTGATATTTATAAAATGTGATCATGG